GAGTAGTAAGATTTTATTTGGCGGTATCTAAACTGTTCAAGGAATGTAGGTGTTCTGTCGGGGCATAGTTCTCCGATTGTTTTTAGGCCGTTGGAGCTGAGCCATTGGTGTATATATGACCAGTCCGTCGGTTGGAGTCCGGCTAGGTCACCTCGAGTCAGTGAATCTGCCAAGTCCGGGTTATGTGTGAGGGGGATCAGGGGGCTGGGCGAAGTGGTGAGTTGTAGACGGTATCGGGTTGCCATCCAGACCCTCAGGGTGGCGTCTATTAAGGGGTTTTTAGTTTGTAGATCTGCATGCGTAGCAGTGTGTAGCCATAATGTGGGGGGTATGTGCCCTCCCGACTGTTCCAATTCCAGCGTGACCCATTGTTTTGTGGGATGCTGTGCGTGCCAGTCTGTGAGCCTGTGTAAATGTGCGGCCCGGTAGTATGTCTCAATTGAGGGCAGGCCGGTACCCCCCAACGGTTTTGGCAGTTCCAATGTCGTTCTCTTGATGCGTGTTGGGCGCGAATTCCAAACGAATCTGCGGATGGCGGTCGACAGGGAGCTAAAGAACGCCCTGGGGACCGCGATCGGCACCGTCTGGAATAAATAGAGCAGTCTGGGTAGTAGGTTCATTTTGACTGCGTTAATGCGTCCAAACCAAGATATATATTGTGGGGCCCATTTTCTCATGTCTGCCTGGATCTTTTGTAGCAGCGGGTGGTAGTTTTGGTAGTACAGTTGGGTCATGTCTTTTGGTAGCCATATACCCAGGTATTTCAATTTAGTGGGGCACCATTTGAAGCGGAATTGGGTGTGTAGCGTCGTTGAGGAGTCCTGGGGGCTTGGAAGGTGAAGGGCTTCTGACTTATCTGTGTTGAGCTTAAGGTTAGATATCAAGCCAAACCTTCGGAATGCGGCCAGAAGATTAGGAAGTGATATCCGCGGAAGGGTGAGGAAAAACAACATGTCATCCGCGTATGCCGCAACTCGATATTCTCGCCGGCCGACGGTGAATCCCGTGATACCCCCATCTCGTCGGACCGCCCCCAGGAAGGGTTCCAGGGAGAGGGCAAACAGGAGGGGGGACAGCGGGCAGCCCTGGCGGGTTCCATTTCGAATGGGAAAGGGGGTGGACAGAGCACCATTCACCCGAATCCGTGCCGTCGGGCTCGTGTACAGGGAAAGGACCCATGATCGCATGCGTGGGCCGAATCCCATGTGTGTGAGTGTTTCCTCCAAGTACAGCCAGTCCACCCGGTCGAAGGCCTTCTCGGCATCTGTCGAGAGGAGGAGTAGCTCCCGGTGTTGCGACCTTGCTACTTGCAGTATGTTTAGGGCTTTGATGGTGTTATCTCTTCCCTCCCTCTCTGGGATGAACCCGACCTGGTCCGAGTGCACTAGGTGTGGTAGGTGCTTCGCGATTCGCAGGGCTAGTGTCTTGGCGAACAGTTTGAGGTCTGCATTGAGCAGGGATATGGGGCGGTAGCTAGCGCAATTCGCTGGGTCTTTACCTTCTTTGGGTATCACCGTGACTATGGCCGCTAGTGTGTCAGTGGGAAACCGTTCCCCGTCTTGAAGTGAGCTAAGACCTCGTAGGAGGTTCGGCAATAATACATCGCGGAATGTTCGCAAGTATGCCAGCGGAAGGCCATCTGGGCCAGGCGCCCTGTGGGATTTGGAGATTTTTAATGCTGCGGCTAACTCTTCTATCGTGAGGGGTCGTTCTAGTTCCTCTATCATTTCTGGGGTCAATTGTCTTTCTACATTTTGGTCTAAGTACTCCGTTATTTGGCCCCGGCGTTGGGCCTGTGTGGTGACCGTCGTGGGCTGGGGGATATTATATAAGTCGGTGTAGTAGTCCACAAAAGCACGTTGGATTCCGTCGGGTAGACTTGTTACAGTCTTGTCTCTAGTGTTAATTTTGTGTATGTGGTTCGCCCTTCTCCTGTCTTGAAGCTGGCGGGCTAAAAGCCTACCGCTCTTGTTGGAGTACTCGAAGAAGTGCCGAGCCGACTTTCTAAGGGTGCGCAAAAGGCCCTTGGCTAGTATGTCCCGTCTCTGCCTCCTAAGCTCCGTCAGTCGGTGGTACTCGTTTTCCCCCTGATTTTGTTTGTGTGCCTGCTCTAGTGTGGTGATTTGTGCGTTTAGGGTGGACAATTGTTGTGTGCGTTCTTTTTTACGCTGTGAGCATATTTTGATATAGTGGCCTCTAATGACACATTTATGTGCCTCCCAGATTGTTAGGGGGGGGTGTCTGGCGTGTTGTTAGTGTCAAAGTATTGTGTCAGTGCTTGCCTGGCTTGTTCCTTGTCCACTAGGTCAAGTAGTAAGTTTTCGTTCAACTTCCATTGCCGCTCTGCAGGTTTATGTAGGGGGGATTGGATTTGTACTGTAATGGGGGCGTGGTCAGAGTCTGCGATATGCCCTATGCTAGCTCGTTGGAGTAGTGTTAGGGCCTCTTGCGCCATTAGGATGTAGTCTATTCGGCTGTAGCGTCGATGTACAGCCGAGTAGAAGGTGTAGTCTCTGCCCTCGGGGTTAGCCACTCTCCAGCAGTCAGCTAAGCCACACCGGGCTAAGGCCCTCCCTGTTGAGCGTATGCAGTGACCTGGTATCGAAGTTTCTCCCCTAGATGTATCCAACCTAGAGTCAAGGGGAATGTTGAGGTCTCCTGCCACTATCAGAAGGCCTTCTCTGAATTTGTTTAGTAGGGCTAGCGTTTTAGTTAGGAAGACGTGTTGACGTCGATTAGGGGAGTACAGGCAGGCAAATGTGTAGGTGGACTGTGCTATCGTGCCTTTGATAAATACGTATCTACCCCCGGGGTCTGACTTCTGCTCCGTGCAAACGAATGGGACTGTACTGGAGAGTAGGATTGCTACTCCGGCCTTCTTCCCGTCCGGGTGATTAGCATAGAATCCTGTGGGGTAACGCCTGTTTCTCACGTTTGGCGCCTCTGTACCCTGAAAATGTGTTTCCTGTAAGAACGCCACTGAGGCGCGCTCTGCCCACAGTGTGCGAAGTAGTTGGGACCTTTTTTCGGGAATGTTTAAGCCTCTTACTTTGTTAGACCATAGGGTCAGTGGTGTCGGCTTGTAGTTAGAGCCCATCTCTATCAGCGTTTTTTGTGAGGCGTGTGTGGGTATGTGTGCGTCAGTGGTTGATGGGTATAGGGGTAAGGTCTGTCCGGTGTCTGGGGAGGGTGATAGTCTGTCCAAGAGAAAGGCAACTGTGACTCGCCTCGGTTTTTGTCGCCTTCTGGTGTCTGTTCCCCTGGGGGTGAGTCACCTCGGTGGCCTCCGAGTGTATATACAACGTGAGTCCGTTGCTTGGGGTATGCGGTCCCTCTAGTGTGGGTCGTTCGATAGTGTTGTGTCGAGCCTTTCCCTTGGCTCCCAGCTCACCTATTGTGTTGGGTTGTAGATCTCTCCGAGTATGTTCCCGTCCCGGAAACCCCACCCGCCTTCTTTGCCCCTCCCTGTCTCGGCCTATGTATGGCCTGTGTATGTGTCTGACTCTAGCTCGGGCCCCAAGTTTCACGTCATTCTGTAACTGTTGCTACCCGTATTGTACCGCGTCCGCGCAATTGTTTACAAACAATAAAAACCATAAACCAATATAACAATCATAATAAACAGTTGTGGAGCAAGGCCCCCCATTCTTCCCCCCCCCCAAAGGGAGCTCCCCACACCCCCCCCTTGGTGGCCCCATTGCATGCCTGAGAGGCCCTCGGCTGTCCAGAAGGTGCTGGGATCTATGCTATCGGTCGTGCCCTTCAGGCTAGAGCTTGGGGAGATCACCCTTACAGCGGTGGGTATAACCCCGGTATGGTGGCAGCCTCCCAGCTTCCACCCCCGCACCCCCTCCACCCAAAGGTAGCTGGTGTTCCCGGGCCTTGGCAACTAGGAGAGTCCCAGCGTGGCATGTCCATGCAAAGTCTATCTCCTGGGGGTCCCCACCCCTGGTTGTGAGGCTCAGGTTAGGCCACCCCCTGCTAATGAGGATCTGGACCCCATGTTGCGGGCTTAGGTCAGGGAATCAAGTACATACCAAGTTGTGCTGTGGTTCGACCAGGTGCGTGGGGGGCAATGTCATCTCGTGGTGCCCGACACCCACAGGAGCTTCCGGTGGTCGTGTCTAGGCCTTCTGAGCTGTCTTGTGGCCTTCTCTCGTAGTGGCTGGGGGGCCGTTGGTGGGGTGGCAGGTCGACGGTCGGGTTAGCAGAATGGGAGGTAGGGGAACAGGTTCATAGGGGACAGTTATTCTTCATGGCTGTCTGGGCCACCCCGCCGGAACCCGCTGCCTGTGAGGCCCGTGCCCGGCCTGTCGCTTACCGCCCGTGGATGCTGTGGTTGTCGCTCCAGGACCCAGTTGGATATCGTCACCGCGGGTAGACTCGTGGCTCGTAGGAAGCGTGGAACATCAGCTGGCCAGCGGATGATATGCCAGGATTGGCCCACCCTCGCCTGCAGGCTGAAGGGGAAGCCCCATTTGTACGGGATCCTCCGCTCCCGGAGAATGGCGGTTACTGGACGTAGCGCCCTCCTGGCCTCTAGCGTGAGCGCGGAGAGATCCTGGTAAAGCGAGACCTGCCCGTCTCTAAAGGCGATGTTCTGCTGATTGCGCGCCGCTCTCATGATGCCATCTTTTAAGGCGTAAGAGAGCAAGCAGCAGATTACATCTCGGCGGTCCCTCAGGGGACAAGGGTCTCAGCGCTCTATGGGCTCTTTCGATACCGTAGTCTTCTGGGGCTCTGTCACCCAGAATATGGGTAAACAGGTCTGTCAGGAGCTCTGGCAGCGTTTCGTCCGCGTTTTCGGGTAGGCCCCTTATGCGGATATTGTTCCTCCTTCCGCGATTGTCCAGGTCTTCTAGTTGTCTCCTGAGATCTAGTAGGACATTGCCCTGTCTGGTGGTGGCAGTTTCTGTGGCCTGTTGGTGCTGCACAGTCTGGGCTCTGTCTGCTTCAAGGGCCTCTACCCTTTGTTCAAGGGCTGTCAGGTCTTTCCTCACCTCCATGACTTCCTCCCTGATTGCAGTCCTGATTTCTGCCAGCATCTCAGCTTTGTCAGCTCTGGACAGCATATTGGCAGTGATCTTGGCCAGCTCGGATGAAATATGCGCCAGAGTGTCTCCCCTGGGTGAGCCCTGCGTCAGGCTGTCACTGCTGCTGTCCCCTGGGGAGGCCGGCGCCATTTTGGATGCGGCCGGCGCGGACCGCATGTCTCGCGGCGTGCATACATAGCCGTCCATGGGGCCTGAGGTGCGACCCGGCGAGCTGGCTTGTGAGGGTCCCGGCATGTGGGGTCTCCGGGATTTACCCATCCCGGGTCGGATAGCGCTCGTTGATGGGTGCTAGTGTGAGCTGGGGCCGCGGAGCAGGTTCAGGATGCGTCCTACTCCATACCCGATCAGGCCACGCCCCCTGTTATAGCCTTTTGTCAGTAATGTTGTAGTTTTGTATTGTGTAATTATTGTGGTAAATTGACATTCTGCTAGCATTTGTTTAATTGTTATTATAATTATATTAAATATACATTTAATACTACAATGTTTTGTGTATTTCCTATTATATATTCGACCATAATACCGAACTCTATTAATGTTGTTATTTGTTGCTTAATTATTATATATTAATTATTAAATTAATATTCATATTTAAGTCACGACCATAACACTTGGCGACGAAGATATGGGATTATGCTGGAATATTAGGGAAAATACAAAAGTTATGCATTTTGTTTAATACATAGAGTCAATTGTCTGTCTGTATAGAAGTGAATAAATGAATGATGATTTAATATGTAATGGAATGAATGCAGATAGCAGATAGGGATTAGATATTTGTTTTTAATGTATCTCTTGCTGTAGAACATAGTGATGAATTATTGTGTTGCTTGTTACCAATCTTTGGTTCATTTGTATATAGAAAAAAAATATATACTTTACCTTTTGTCTGACCATGTGGATTTTAATCCACCATTGACCACATGGTGTGAATGAGTTGAGGCCTAGTTTAATTGTTTGCTACCATTTGCACAGGAAAAGACTTTTCACTAAACTAGTTCACCAGGTTTTATTGCTAAATTTGACCCTGTTTGTGTACTAATTTACATTTGTTTGGCATTCATGGATTTGTCTAGTTGAAAAGAGATTTGGACAAAATGTATTAAATTAGTAGTTAAGAAAAAGATACGTTTAGTAAAGCAGATTCAGTGAATAATAGATTTATGTGTGCGTATACACAGAATATTAGTATAAATATATATATGATTTTGACTCATGAAGGAGAGACCACCTTTTTAACAGCTGTGTGACCATGCTTTTCAGCTACAGCTGGGGGAGAATTTGTCCTTGTTGGGGGTGGGTAGTCTTGCCTGTATGAGAAAAAATAAACTGCATTGTTTTGTAAATGTAATTGCCTAAGCTAATCAATTTGTGGAGTGTTTTTCAGCTTTATTATCCAGGACTAAGGAATTACTGGACATATGCAGGAACTGGTAACAAATGAACTGAAAAAATGGTAAAATAATTCCTTTGTCCTATTTAGTCTGAATATTTTAACAAGTTAGCATTTTTAACAAAGTAAGTGTAGGGGCTCAGATTAAGATTTATATTATTTTAGAAGCCATCTATAACTGATTTTAATATTTCCATGCTTTGAATTAGGGTGTATCTGCCTAGCGGGTGAACCTCCATAACGTGGGCTGTGATTTTAGTTACAGTAGCGGGTGGGGAACCTGAGCTAGGGGGTATTTAAACGTGTCCGGATAAGGGGGAGCATACCCAATAGTTGTTGTGCAGTTCTATCCTGTATTATTATTTGAAACCCTGTATTACTTATAAGTAGCGTTTTGTAACTTATTTGTAATTGTTTATATATATTGCTCTGGGAAAGGGATAGGCAAAATCTCTGAGAGACCAGGAAATATATTTAAAAAAAGGGCGTATTACACTAGTGGTAGGGTGGCCTATCATGACCATAGAGACCCTTGGTGACTAGTTTTTGTTGTATATTGCCCTGGGAAGGGGATACGCTATTTAATAGAAATTCCTGAGAGACCAGGAAATATACAATAAGTGATACGTGAGTGTACTGGTTAAATTGCAGACATATTGGCCCAGAACCTTTAATCGAGCCGGAAAAGAGGCTGCTGTATGTTTGCTCCTCTATAATTTTGCGGAGGCGGTCACCCCCATGCGGAAAGCCACTGCCATCACAGGGTGGTTAGTTGTGCAGGCCCTTAGCCACGAGGTGCAAGCATGTCCGTGGAAAGGCTAGAAATTAATAGGAAGTCACTCATAGCTGTCAGAAGTGTTGAACTTTGAGACATATTGACCTATATCCTTTCAGAGGCGGAAGAGGTGTTGTGGTTCACTCCTCTATAATTTAACCAAAGGGTGGAAAGTTATTAAACATGTTTAAGTTGGCTAGAAATTTGTTACTCATAAGTCCATTTGAAATCCTGTATTGCTTAAAAGTTTGTGTCAGTTTTATATTGCCCTGGGAAGGGGATTAGCTATTGTATATCCCTGAGAGACCAGGAAATATAAAATAAGTAATACGTGGGTGTATTGTGTATCTGCCTAGCAGGTGAACTGCCATAACGTGGGCTGTAAACTTAGTTACAGTAGCGGGTGGGGAACTTAGGCTAGGGGGTACTGAGCATATCTGCCTAGCGGGTGAACTGCCATAACGTGGGCTGTAAACTTAGTTACAGTAGCGGGTGGGGAATTTAGGCTAGGGGGTACTGAGCATATCTGCCTAGCGGGTGAACTGCCATAACGTGGGCTGTAAACTTAGTTACAGTAGCGGGTGGGGAATTTAGGCTGAGTATTGGACTTTTAGTGTTGTGTACTCCTGAATTGCAAGGAAGATGCAGAAAGCAGCTATTAGCTGATTGTTTATTTTAAGAGCCGAGTAGAAAAATTAAGAAAGTTACCTTGTTGAACAAATTGTTTATAAAATGAAAAGCTGAAGGAATGTGTTTACATGTCTGTGTGTATGTATATATATATTCTAAGTAAAATATTTGCAGTATACGCTATAAGTGACTAGGAAAGTAATCCTGATCTGTTTCCTAACCTTTTCAGATGTAGCAGAAACCAGAGGTGGACATTGGAACACAGATAGAATATCAGATGGAGACCAGTGTTTAAATGTTGACCTTTGATGAGCTATTGAATGTTTTATTTTATTGTCTATTTAACATGTCTATGCTATGATTTTGTGCATACTATTCTCTTATTTCTAGTGATTGTATTGCAATTGAAACCCTTATGTATTATTGTTGTATGTATGTATGTATGCTTGCCTGGGAAAGGGGGGAATTGACCCATAGGGACCAGGGGGTATTTTTGTGTAAACCAAACTGGGGTGGGAGGGCTCTAACGAGGGAACCCCATTGTCCAGTAGGTGCTTGATTTGTGTCTGTGTAAAGTGCATGAGTGGTTGCAGTTAAAAAAAACAAAAAAAAAACGGAAGAATGATAAGAGGGATAAGAGAAAGTAGGCATTTTGGGTTATCTATACATGTTTAAATAGAAGGGTGGGTAATAGGAATGTAATTGTTTTGGTTAGTGTTTAGATTAAATTGGTAAATGCAGCAGTAATAACGAGTGTTTGGGTTAAATTGGTAGATACAGCAGTGATATTGTGTTTATCTGTGAATCAGGAGTGTGCTGGATGTGAAGAGAGGTGTGTAGGTATTTATCCAAACGCCATAGGAAAAAATATGGTTAAGACACCACAATCAAATGGTACTTGTGATGATTGGCACAGTTATTATTTATGTTTGTGTTCGTCATTGCCTGTGTTTTCATTCAAGAACTTTCATGCAAGGATATTTTAAGCTGAAGAAGAAGCAGCACTGGACACTATGCTCAACTGTTGCTGTAAGGAGAAAAAATATTGCAGCTAAGAGTGGTGAGAGTCGGAACAAATGCATCAGGAGCAGGACACTGGTTAATGGTATAAAGAAAGAAGAAACAAAACAATGTGACCACAAACACACAAAAGTTCATTCATCCCTGTCTCCATGCGTATGTTCTATGAGACTGTCGAAGAACAGAGTATCCAGTTTCCAGGACTAATGTTTGTGAAAATTCCAGGCACACAGACCAGCCAGAGGCTACAGAAATCGTGTCGGTCTGTGCCATGATTCATAGGTGTTATGAGTTTCTGGTGTCTAATACTATATTAAGCTCCAAAACACATCCTCACATGAACACAATATCATTGGTTAATCTAATAAAACATGGTTTGAGTTGTCTATTATTACAAGGGTGGGTATTTGCCTATTTAAGGCCAAGGTTTCCCAACTGCTAATGCATGTGCTCAGTGGTTATTATAAGGGTGGGTATGTGCTTATTTTAGGCCAAGGTTTCCCAACTGGTGATGCATGTGCTCAATAAAAAAAATAAAAATAAAAATTGAATAAGCAATAAAGTGTCATAACTTTACGGGTAAATGGGTATCACTCTTCAAAAGGTGGGTTTTGTTGTAGGGCAGGTACTGTTAAAATACGGTAGATTCAAGATGTACGGGTTTATAATGTTTGTTTTATGACATAAGTCAAAGGGTGGTTTGTAATGGTATTTATTAATTAATGACTTTTTGTCATAAAAAAAGCATAATGAGCTTAATGCTTTAGACGCACCACTAGATGTCAGTAAAGCATATTTAGTGTAATGCTTTGGGGGCACCACTAGGGGGAGTGTGTAGGAAGACCTGTGCTTCTGGCAGTGACATCACAGGCCAGCCTACTTACACTGAATAAAAACCAGATGTTAGGAGAAGCAAGCTCTCTGTTTTTGCCTGTACCTGACTGATCATGTAGTACCAGCTCTGACTTAACCCCAGCCAAAGGGCTGGGGCCTTGTAAGTAAAATGTTGAATAACAGCTAGCAACTGTTATAGCCTTTTGTAAGTAATGTTGTAGTTTTGTATTGTGTAATTATTGTGGTAAATTGACATTCTGCTAGCATTTGTTTAATTGTTATTATAATTATATTAAATATACATTTAATACTACAATGTTTTGTGTATTTCCTATTATATATTCGACCATAATACCGAACTCTATTAATGTTGTTATTTGTTGCTTAATTATTATATATTAATTATTAAATTAATATTCATATTTAAGTCACGACTGTAACACTCTCTTTCAGAGGATTCATATACTTACCTGGGGATCACCCCCTATTAGTGCATTCTCTTTCCACAGCCCCTGTGTGTTTGCCTGGGTCCCTGGTAGCTGCCCCATGCCTTCTCCTCGCAGACTGAGTGTTTTAAATCCGGTATTAAGGCTTAACAGGCTGGCGGCATGATAAGAACGCTCGCGCATGCGCAATTTTGAGGCCGAAACCGATGACGCGTACTAAGGGAATAGTAGGTCGTGGCGGCCATTTTAAGTATGGGCAAAAACGGAAAATGACCCAAACTTGAATGCAAAACATAAAGTGAAGGTATTTAAGGCCCTTGAGGGCTTCGGGTAAGTGCCTTGGCACATATTCTTGCCTCAGTGTGTTCCTGGAAGTAGTTTGGTGTGTTTGGAAGTTGTTCTTAAAGTGCCAGTACTCTTTCAAGATCTTTGTCACAGGTAAGTTTATTTTTGTGATTAAAAGTTTTTTTGTGTAGCTTCATAACACTCCTTAGGGGGTCCTAGAATTTATCTGTTTAATTTTTAGCCCATTATGGCTTCACCATATAGGCTACATTTATCCACTGCTCCTTCTAGGTATGTATGATGTTCACTTTTATTATTTAAAACTTCCTCTCATGTTTTCGTGATATTCTCCAATTGATTTCTAGTAATGAGGAATGGATAATATCATCTCTTCCCAGGAAAAGAAGGGAGAAAGCTACCCCCTGTTCTGGCTGTGAAGGAAAGGCGGTAGATGGGAAACAACTTTGTACGGATTGTCTCCAGAAGATTGCCACTTCTTCCTCCGCTATATCATCCCAATCTCCAGACATACTGGCCTGGATTAGAAACGAGGTCGCTCAAGGCATCTCTGCTACTATGGAGGTAAGAAACTGGGTTGAGAAGAGACCCAGACAAAGGCTGGACTCCTCTAACTTACCCGATTCAGATGTATTGGAACCCTCTGGCGAATTCGAGATCTTGGACCAGGTAGATTACTGTGAGAGTGAAAGTGAAATGCTTTCTGAATCCCTGGATTACAAATCAGTGGATAAACTGATTCTTATGGTAAACAAGACACTTAATTCCTGATGATACACACACGGTGGAGGAATCAGATAATCTGATGTGGAAAGAGGTGTCAAAAGACAAGATCTCTGTGACACAATTTGAGACCTACACATGACAACGGAGTACCTGACTGAGGCTTCATTAGACATTACAAGGATATTCTCTTGAACCATGGCCTTATCTGTGGCTGCCAGAGGAGCCTTATGGTTACGTTACTGGGGAGCTGATGCTGCCTCAAAGTCTAATCTATGCTCCATACCCTTTGAAGGTCAGTTTTTTTTGGCAAGGCCTTGGAAGACTCCATAAAGAAGGCAGCGGAAGACCACAAGGTATTTTTGCCACAAGATAGAAGAACTAGAAAGCCAGGTACTTCATGGTCGGACAGACGTCCTGCTAAAGACACATTTCAGGGACTCCCGAAGCTACCAACTTGGTAGAGAATTTAGTTGTGGAAGCCAATGGCGTGGAGGACAAGGCTTTTCCCACCGCTCTTATAGAGCTGGGAACCAGTCCTTTTGTCCCTCAGGGAAGGGATTCTGACTAACTGCCAGTAGTTGGAGCCAGACTGTCCCTCTTCAGCAAAGTCTGGACACAATATATTCAGGACACCTGGGTACTCTTCATAATTCTGGAGGGCTACAGGCTGGAGTTCAAGCAAAGGAATTTCTTTATGGCATTTCATATCCTATGGACAAAAACAAAAGAGCCTGTTTGAAGGAATACGTGGAATAAGAGAAAGGGTCATCACACAACATACTGGCCTTGGGAAGAACGCTTCAGGGGGGCATTATTCTCCTCTGTTTCTAGTCCTGAAAAGAGAAGGCAAATGGAGACCTATTTTAGATCTCAGGTCCATCAACAGAAGGCTCAACATCAGGCCTTTCAGGATGGAGTCCATCCGTTCCATTGCTCCTACCATCAGAAGGCTGGATTTTTTGGTCACCATAGACCTAAAGGATGTGTACTACCACATCCTGATTGCACAAAGTCACCAGCGCTTCCATTTGCCATCGGAACAGACTATTTCCAGTTTCGGGCCCTGCCTTTCGGCCTAAGTACAGCACCAAGAACTTTTTCAAAGGTCTTTGTGGTGATCGTTGCCCGGATGTGGGGCATTGGCCTGTTCCATTATTTAGATCTTCTATTAGTCGCCTCAGACCCCCAGGAAGCAAAAAAATCAAAGGAACCTGGTTCTCTCTGAACTACGTCAGTTCGGCTGGCTAATCAATCCAGAGAAGAGCAGTTTAATTCCGGCTCAGAAGAGAGTCTTCCTGGGAGCCTTGTTCAATACTAAAGTGTACAAGATATCACTTTCCGAAGAGAGGATAGGAAGGCTTTGGACCTTCCTCAAGCAATTCCTACTGTCCAACCTGGTTACAGAATATCTGATCCAGTTCAACAACAAGAAGTTGAAATGGAATCAACCCATCAAGATTTCTTCGATGGCAAGACTCCATCTTTCCTGGTGGTTAAAGAGAAGGAATGTGTCCAGAGGATTTCCCCTGTCAGATCCACAATGGGCAATACTTACCACGGATTCCAGTTCCTGGGCATAGGGAGCCTATGTCAAGACAGGTTCGCTCAATTCTATGGACTGCAACAGAGTCAGCCCTTCCGAGCAACACCTTGGAGTTGCGGGCCATATGCAGAGCCCTTCTACATTTCCAGACGACCCTAAAAGGACGCTGGATTCGAGTATGTTCGGACAACATGGCTGCTGTCACCTACTAGAATCACCAGGGTGGAACACACAGTCTCAGACTCCTGAAGGAATTGAAACCTATAATGAGGTGGGCTATCATGCACTCCCACGGCATATCAGCAATTCACCTACCGGGAATCCGGAATACAGTGGCGGGTTTCCTGAGCCTCAATGTCAGGGTTCGAATGGCGGCTGTGCCCAGAGGTTTTTCGAAACCTAATCTTGAGATGGGGTGTATCCAAGAGAGACCTGATGGCCACCTCCCAGAACGCACAGGTGGAAGTGTTCTTCTCCAGGTACTTCGACCCGAAAGCCCTCGGTCAGGATGCTCTGACTCAGAATTGGGACTTCAAACTGACTTCTGTCTTCCCTCCGATCAGGGCCAGATTAAGAGCCCAGTGGGCCTGGTGCTGACAATTATGATGGGCCTAATTACAAAATCTTACTGACCAAAAACACTAAAATAGTCGTACTTCCCAAGCATCATGTATCTGATGGAGATGGTGCTGGAGGGAAACTCATGGATCTATGAGAAAACACATACCCTATGCTAATCTCACGCTTTCATCTTTCAAGTAAATCCATACTCCCTAACAGCAGTGTCCAGTAAAGCAGGAAGTCTATGAACGGGGTAAAAGGGTGAGCCACTGACGCAAATCACATAACCAGAACTGCCGAAAGGGGTGAACATACACAAAAAGGGGGCATGTCTGTGTCCCCATGTCCCCCAGTCCCTTAGTGTCTGTGTCCCCATGTCTCCCAGTGTCCCCATGTCACTAGAACACTAGGAGACATTGAGAGACCTGAGGACACTGGGCGATATGGGGACACAGATACTAGGGAACACTGGGAGACCTGGGGACACTGGGTGACATGGGGTACTGAGACACTGTGATAGATAGGGGACATTTGCTATATAGACTGTAAGTTCGTTTAAGCAGGGTCATCTTCAACCTATCATATCTGTAAGTTTTCTTGTAATTGTCCTATTTATAGTTAAATCCCCCCTCTAATAATATTGTAAAGCGCTACAGAATTTGTTGGCACTATATAAATGGCGATAATAATAATATATAGGGGACAATGGAGACTTGATAAAGACCTGGGTACAGGTCAAAACGTTGAAATGTTTAATAAACCTGCTTAAATCTATCACAACAGTGAGTGCCTGAGATTTTTTTCTTTCATTCTAGGAGACAATGAGACATGGGGACACTGAGACATGGGGGCACTGGGAGACTAGGGGATTCTGAGAGACTAGGGGACACAGACACTACGGACACTGAGAAACACCAGTGACACGGGGTACTGAGACACTCTGATACATAGGGAACACTGGAGACTTGATAAAGACCTGGGTACAGGCAGAAACGTTGTGGTGTCCTATAAACCTGCTTAAATCTATCACAGTGAGTGTCTGAGAGACATAGGGACACTGAGAGACCAGGGGACTTTGGGAGACTAGGAAACACAGCCACTCTACAGACACTGAGAGACACCAGGGACACTGGGAGACATGGCGATACTGAAATACTAGGGACACTGGCTGGGAGACATGGGGACACTGGTAGTGTCCAATGTCTCCCAGGTCTCAAAGTCGCCCAGTGTCCCCATGTGTCTCAGTGTCCTCTAGTGTCTGTGTCCCCATTGTTTGAATGCCCATGTCTCCCAGTGTTCCTTAGAGTCTGTGTCCCCATGTCTCCCAGTGTCCCCATGTCCCTAGGACACTAAGACACTGAGTCTCTGGGAGACTAGGGACTGAGACACTAGGGACAATGAGAGACATGGGGCCCCCATGTCTCAGTTTCCCCTAGTGTCTCAGTGTCCCCAGGTCTCCAAGTGCCCCCTAGTGTCTCAGTGTCACCAAGTGTCCGTATGTCTCCTAATCGGACACCGTTCACATCTGTCACAGTTTCCCATAGTGTCTGTGTACCCAAGTGTCCCCTAGTGTCTCAGTGTCCCCTAGTGTCTCCCTGCAGACTTTCCCCCCCATCCCTGGGAGATGCTGTAACTTCTTATCCCTGCCTCTCTCCACACAAACAGCTACCCCTGGCCGGTGCTGGTATTGCAGTATTTCATCTGTTTATACCGAGAGACATTTGTATTGCCAGTATTACTGCAATAACGGCACCTGCTAAGCAGCCTCAAATACCTGAGAAATACTTCTGAGAAATACCTGGCAACCATAAGATATACCTGAGAAATACCTGGCAACCTTAAGAGAAAAAAAAAAAAGTATATATATATATATATATTTAAAAATTTTTTTAAATCAATGGGCCTATTCCATGGGCCTGGAGCTGCAGGCCCAGGCCCATTGATTTAAAAAAAAAAAAAAAAAGCTATGTTAATCCAGCCCTGCCTCCAATCCCTCTACTCTATACTGTGTGTAAGAGTCAGAGGGACAAGGTAGAGGCTATTGCCATTTTCCCATTTTGGCCACGTCGACCTTGGTTCCCTATGGCGAAACGGATGAGTCGGGAGGATCCGTGGGAACTCCCTGTCCGGCCAGACCTGATGCAAGGTCCTTTGAAGCATTCAGAGCCTCATGCTCTACATTTGAGGGCCTGGAGATTGAGCGGGAATCTCTCTTGAAGAAGGGTATAACTGATTCGGTTATTAAAACAATTTTTCCGGCCTGTAAGGTTTCAACTTCATCTACCTATTACAGGATCTGGCAGGCCTTTGTCAGTTGGGCCCGTGATAAGATTGTTATCATTCCTCAATCCTTGGCTGCAGTGCTAAGCTTCCTACAAGCAGGTTTGGATAAGGGGTTTGGCTATAACACCCTTAGGGTCCATGTTTCGTCTCTCTCTGCCCTAACCGGCACCAGGTGGGCCTTACAGCCTTTGGTTATGAGATTCATGAAGGCTCTTATGAAGATCCGACCTCCACTCAAGGCTTTTATGCCAGCCTGGGATATGCTTTTGGTGTTACATGCCTTGACTGCGGCACCTTTTGAACCATTGGAGAGTATTTCTGAGATACGATTGTCCCAAAAGGTCCTTTTGTTAATGGCTATCTCCTCAGCTAGGAGGATATGTGAACTTCAGGCCTTGTCTTGTGAACCTCCATTTACGGTCTTTCATCAGGATAAGGTGATTCTTCGCCCTGTGCCGGATTTCCTTCCCAAGGTGGTCTTGAAGTTTCATTTGAATGAGGATGTGATCTGAGGAAGAGAGGTGGCATTACTTGGATGTTGTTAGAGCACTCTCCATCTACATTGAGAGGACAAGCCTTTTCCGCAAATCTTCCAGACTGTTTGTTTTACCTTGGGGCCGTAGAAAAGGTGAAGCAGCTTCTACTTCTACTCTGAGACAGTGGATAGTAACGTCTATCTCCAAGGCTTATCGTTGCCAGGATACGCCTCTACCTGTAGGTATCAAGGCTCATTCTACCCGAGCAGTATCTGCCTCTTGGACTTCTGTGGCAAAGGTATCTCCAGACAGTATTTGCAGAGCTGGTACATGGTCTTCTGTTAACACCTTCATCAGGCATTATCAGTTGGACGTTCGATGCACTAATGATACTCACTTTGGACGTCAAGTCCTCAATTCAGTACATAGTGATGGTCACAGTTAATGTATTTGTTTATTTGAATACATTTATTTGCAGCTATTTTGGCTTGGTCCCTCCCTTTTGTTAGCTTGGGTATTCCTATGATGTATATGCTGCCATGACTTGCCAGGAAAGTGGAAAATTTATTCATACTTACCGTAATTTTCTTTTCCTGGGAGCATATACTCCCCCACCCTTTTAATCTGTGTTTATACTTTTCTGTAGAGCTTGGTACTGACTGCGGATCCTAGGAAGGGGTCCTCCTTTAAACGTTTGAATGTTTTTCCTGTCCTATCGGCTGTAACCCATGATGTATATGCTGCCATGAATAATAACTAAGAAAAGAAATTACGGTAAGTATGAATAAATTTTCCACTATTTATCGATTACTTATATTGTTTTTTGTTTTTATATAAAATTTTAATATAGAGTTTTTTAATATATCTTTAATAAATGTATCATCAACCTCTATCTGTATCTTGCACTTGATTCCGGTAAGTGAGGTATCACCCCATAGACTGACACAAAGCCAGCATACTTAGAGCCAGTTATCAAAAAGCCCTCAATAAGGTGAGCACCAATTTATTACTGTATGTGGATTTAATTCAACCTATAACTCAATGTACTACACCTAGAGTTTTTTTCTTCTATCCTTGTCTCCTCTATTTACACCGTGGAGAGGAACAAAAAATTAAAAAAGGGGTACAGCTGTCTACCTTAAAGACACAGAAACGCTGAAGTTAAAGCCTTAAATCTTTGAAAACACTCTTAAAAATGAGTATTTTCACTCACAAATCACAGTTAAACAGGTCTTTCTTATACTATACAGTATTGTCCTATCAAAACGTATTAAGGACCTGCATTTCTATTTCCATGCAACAGTAAGCCTATAACAAGTGTAATAATAGTAGTGAGCGCTAGAGGGCCACAAGCTCAAGTCTGTCTATCCTGTTTGTGCAAACTAGAAACCATAGCAACATATCGAGAGTAAATGCCCAAGCGTTCGAGAGAGCCAAAGGCGCAAACGTAATAAGTTTTGTATAGATCTAGCTTGTGAACCTAGTTTGTTTGCAAATAAATGAAAACCATACCTACGAACCCACCTTATCATACGAATGAAATAAAAGGACACGAACGCTCTATACGGCAATAGAGCTTTCTCGCTCGGCTAACCCATGGAAACGTGCAACCGCATTCGTGTGACCAAACAACCCGTTTGAGTGCAAAGAGCCGAACGATTGAGACAGCGTTTAACGAAAACCCACTTTGGAAACCCACCTTACCATACGAAATGAAAGGCACGAACGCTCTATACAGCAATAGAGCTTTTGTGCCCGCCTACCCATAGAAAAGTGCGATCGTACTTGTGAGACCAATTGACCCGTTCATATGCAAGGAAAGCAATCAAACAGACAAAACGAACTGAATGAAATTTAAAGTAAGGATCAAACCGTGTAGACGCCAATGGTGGGCGTCTGCGTGACTGACAGCCTACAGGGTCGGAGGTCAAGCAGGAGCTTCGGCTTCAGCCGGCAGTGCTGGGAACCATCGGGGGAGTGGGCAAGGGTGATCCAGACAGGAGCATTCCAAGGGTAGCAAGATGGCGGTTTGTATGCACCGGAAGGAGCAGCATGCAGATCGCCAGACCAATTACGGTAGGGCAGGTAAAGGGATGTCCCTTATATAGGTCCCACATGCCCCTCCCACATCTCCAGGCAAAGCTTTTACACATATACATATCTATATATCTATATACACACACACACATACATACACACATACATATATATTTAAATTCTACAAATGTATTTATATAAAATATTTTTACATAATTAAGTAAAATTTTATTAATTACAATCTGAGGGACCTGGCTCAAAAGCCCTATATTTAACCCTGTAACTTTCCAGGACACCATAAAACCTGTACATGGGGGGTACTGTTTTACTCAGGAGAACACAAATATAATTGTTTAAATAACAGTAAAACATATCACCAGGGCCGTCTTTAACGCGGGGCAAACGGGGCAGCTGCCCCGGGCCCAGTTTCTCAGGTGGCCGGTCGGGCAGGAAGGCGGGCGCGCGAGGGAGCACTCACTGCTTCCTCTTCAGCTCCCTCGCGCACCGCACTGATGCCAGAGCCGGAAGATGACGTCATCTTCCGGCGCTGGCATCCCCACGCGGCGCGCGAGTGAGCTGAAGAGGAAGCACTGAGTGCTCCCTCGCGCGCCCGCCTGCCCGACCGGCCACCCGCCCAGGAGCCCAGCAGCACCACTGGACCCCAGGGAATCCCTCCAGCACTCCAAAAGGTAAGGAGGCTGGGGGGATTACATTTAAAAAAAAAATGTGTGTTTGTGTGTTAGTGTATGTGTTTGTGTGTTAGTGTATGTGTGTGTTAGTGTATGTGTGTGTGTTTGTTAGTGTATGTGTTAGTGTATGTGTTAGTGTATGTGTTAGTGTATGTGTGTGTTAGTGTATGTGTGTGTTAGTGTATGTGTGTGTTAGTGTATGTGTGTGTTGGTGTGTGTGTTTGTGTGTGTGTTTGTGTGTTAGTGTATGTGTTTGTGTGTTAGTGTATGTGTGTGTTAGTGTGTGTTAGTGTGTGTGTTTGTGTGTGTTAGTGTATGTGTTAGTGTGTGTTAGTGTATGTGTTTGTGTTAGTGTATGTGTTTGTGTGTTAGTGTGTTAGTGTATGTGTTTGTGTGTTAGTGTATGTGTTTGTGTGTTAGTGTATGTGTGTGTATGTGTGTTAGTGTATGTGTGTGTTAGTGTATGTGTTAGTGTTTGTGTGTGTTAGTGTATGTGTGTTAGTGTATGTGTGTGTTAGTGTATGTGTGTGTTAGTGTATGTATGTGTGTGTTTATGTGTGTTAGTGTGTTAGTGTATGTGTGTTAGTGTGTGTATGTGTGTTAGTGTATGTGTGTGTTAGTGTATGTGTGTGTTAGTGTGTGTGTGTGTTAGTGTGTGTGTGTGTTAGTGTATGTGTGTGTTAGTGTATGTGTGTGAGTGTATGTGTGTGTCAGCATGTCTGTGTGTCAGTATATATGTGTGTATATCTGTGTGTGTCAGTATGTGTATGTGTCAGTATGTCTGTCAGTGCGTCAGCATGTCTGTTAGTGCATGTGTATGCATGTGTCAGTATATCTGTCTGTGTGCCAGTATGTCTGTGTGGGTGTGTTTCAGTATTTCTCAGTGTATGTGGGTGTCAGTATATCTGTCAGTGTGTGGGTGTCAGTATTTCTGTCAGTGTATGTGTGTCAGTATGTTGATCAGTGTATGTGTCTGTGTGTGTGTGTGTCAGTATGTCTGTATATGTGCCTGTGTCAGTATGTCTGTCAGTACGTCTACCAGTGTATGTGTCTGTGTGTGTCAATATATGTACCTGTGTCAGTGTGTCTGTCAGTGTATATGCCTGTTTATCTGTATGTAGTCAGTGTATGTATCTGTGTATCTGCTTGTGTGTCAGAGTGTGTACCTGTGCATCTGAGCCGCAACTTTAAATACAAATACACCCCTCCATTCAAACTTCAACACTACATATAAAACACACTCCTGCATTGAAACGTCAACACTACATACAAGCACACTCCTACATTCAAAAACAAACACTACACATAAATGCACACTTGCATTCAAACTCCAGTACCACATACAAACACATTCACACAAACATACTCCATACAAACACATGCTTACATTCAAACATACTAACATGGCTCAGTGCTAAATACAACCCTGCAAGCATGGGAAATTGGTAGAGTCCCAGCTGTCAAAGCATTGTTGGAGTTGCACGACAGATGGGGTTCTACCTTTAGTCCAACCTTGCAATTGGGGGTCCCAATAAAATTCATTCTACTTTAGTACCGCCACTGCGTTGGGATGGATGCCGTGATTGCATACCAGGGAGTGAGGGGCGACAGCGGCAGGGCACAATGAGAATTACCCCCATGATGGCATACCATTTTGCAAAAGTACACAACCCAAGGTATTGCAATTGGGGTATGTCCAGTCTTTTTTAGTAGCCACTTGGTCACAAACACTGGCCAAAGTTAACGATCAGATTTGTTTTTGTGTGAAAAAAAAAAAGCAAAAAACAAATATTTGGCCAGTGTTCAAAGGCAACATTACCAAACTGGCAAATTTCAATGTGGAAAAAAAAAAATGAATTGCAAGCCTTATCTTTGACTCTCTAACTTTCCAGAACACCATAAAACCTGTGCATGGGGGAGGTACTGTTATACTTGGGAGACTTCACTGAACACAAACATAAGTGTTTCAAAACAGTAAAACATATTACAGCAATAGTATCGTCAGTAAAAGTGCCGTTCGAGTGTGAAAAATGCAAACAACTTCCCTTACTGAAAATATCATCATTGTAATACAATTTATCATTTTGAAACACTAATATTTGTGTTCAGTGAAGTTTCCCGAGTAAAACAGTACCCCCCATGTACAGGTTATATGTGTCAGGATTACTGTTTGATCCAGCACGTAGAACTGTACAGCACGGATGACAAATAAGTAACGTATTACCGGTCCTTAGAATGGCCGGATTTAACGTACAAAGAATAGTCAAAAATACTAGCCGAGGTCAGGGAACACAGAAAGGGACACAGCGATGAGGAAAGCCAGGAATCAGGATACCAGAATATAGAGAAGTCAATAAACAAAGCCAAAGTCAAAAACCAGGTAGAAAACTATAAACAGGAACGCGCTCTCAGACAACCACAAGGGAAACCACGACAGGGCACTGAGCAGGCTGAGAACTGGGCCTAAATACCCCTCCTTTAGTTCTGATAGGCTGTAACCGGCCTTTGACCCCAAAGTCAGTTACCAGGTTTCATTTGCATAATTGCTGCTCAGCATTAACCCTTCTGTGGATTAGGTTGCTGCTCGGCACAACTTTTCCTGTGTGGACAGTAAATGTCATTAACCACATTTCTATAAGCGGATGAATATGTGACAATATGGTGTCTTGGAAAGTTACAGGGTTAAATATAGTGCTTGTGAATTACATTCTCTGCACTTTCTGCCTGGGTTGTCAGGCACATCAATCAAATTATTAATTAAATCACATATTTATGTTAAAAGATTACTTAAATATATATATATATATATATATATATATATATATATATATATATATATATACACACACACACACACACACACTAATTTGTATTATATAGTGTATTTTGTTACATATATTAATAAAATACAGTCAGAATGAAATTACATATGTATATAGAATTTTTAAAAATATTTTATTATTGTATCTATTTATTATTGTAATTATACATGTATATATAAATATAAAATATACACACACACAATATACATATATCATATATATGTACCTTCATTCTAAGTATATTAATACTATGTACTTATATTAACATGTAAATACACTATTTATGACGTTACACATATATATATATATATATATATATATACATACATATATACATACATATATATATATATATACATACATATATACATACACAAAATTTATTTTTACATGTTTTTTTTTTTTTTTTTACTCTTTCCACCAGCAGGGGTACTGTGACAGCCCAGACAGTTCCCCTGCAGGCAGATCTACAACCAGCTATAGGGGGCCATGTGATCGCTCTTTGAGATCTTTTCTATGTACAAAAAAGGCCTATTTCTCTCAAATATTGTTCACAAATCTGTGTAAATCTGTGTTTGTGAGCACTTCTCCTTTGCTGAGATAATCCATCCAATTCACAGGTGTGGCATATCAAGATGCTGATTAGACAGCATGATTATTGCACAGGTGTGCTTTAGGCTGGCCACAATAAAAGGCCATTTTAAAATGTGCAGTTTTAGTGTATTGGGGGAATCCAGGGGTTCCGAAAAGCAGTCAGCATCTGGTTTGACCACGATTTGTCTCGCAGTGAAACACATCTCCTTCGCATAGAGTTGATCAGGTTGTTGATTGTGACCTGTGGAATGTTGGTCCACTCCTCTTCAATGGCTGTGTGAAGTTGCTGGATATTGGCAGGACCTGGAGCACGCTGTCTTATACGCCGATCCAGAGCATCCCAAATCTGCTCAATGGGTGTCATGTCCGGTGAGTATGCTGGCCATGCAAGAACTGGGATGTTTTCAGCTTCCAGGAATTGTGTACAGATCCTTACAACATGGGGCTGTGCATTATCATGCTGCAACATGAGGTGATGGTTGTGGATGAGTGTGCCATTTGATTTTGTGTTGATGCATAGATGAGAATTTTGTAATTTAGGTACTGTTCCCAAGATCATTGTAACAGTTTTGTCAATGTTTAGGGAGAGTGTTTTTTGTGATCCACTTTTCTACCAATATGAACTGGTCTTAGAGCACAGCCTCAAGCTGCGGTAGATTGGATTTGCTTGCATAGATTACTGTGTCACGCCAAGGGTGTATAATTCATTTTTGCACAATAAAATATTGCCATTTAATGTGTAGTGCATATATGAATTGTGCCACTTGGTTGCAAGGTCAGATGACAGAAGGGGTAATGTAATTTGCATAGTAATGTGAAAGGGGGCACATGGTTTACCATATGGATTGATCAAAGGCTCTGCATGGTGTATGAAGTCAAGCATAAGTGGCCTGGAAGTCTGGTTTAAATATAAACTAACTCTCTAAATTGCCATATGTCTAGATTCCTCTTAGATAGGTGGTCCTTTGATATCTTAATGACCATTAGCCTTGTGTTCCAGTATCATAACCAAAAGAAACATTAATATTTACCCACAGATCATTAAGCCTCATTTTTATAATATTTAGAATGGGATAAGCACAATCTTCTAATCGAGCCCAAATACGTAAAATAGAAAGGTGAACAGCGCTAAAAATCAGAAAATGTACATACGTTTTGTAGAAATACTGGCCAGCAGAGTAACTTAAAAAAAGAGAGAAACAAAAATACAAATAATGGTACAGTATGTATGAACGATATAATTCCACAAGAACAAAGGTGTTATATTCACACTCACACTTTGAGGAGCTATATCAGCTCGGTGTTAAGAGCCTGGACGGAATAATCTCCGTCTATGGATTTCTTGAGGTTCAAGACCGTTGGTGAATTTATAGGTGTAAATATTCGTTACATGAAAAACAAGAGTAAAATACACCACATGGTATAGTACGTAAATATAAAATATTGTGGGAAAAAAAAAAAAAGTGGATTATCTTCCTCACTTGACGCGTTTCGCCGAAGCTTTCTCAAAAGTTCACTTGATGTGAAGTTCACTTTTGAGAAAGCTTCGGCGAAACGCGTCAAGTGAGGAAGAATTTTGGACTTTTATCCACTTTTTTTTTGTATTAAAGTATATATATTTTTTTAAACTATCCAGTCAATATTTTATATTTACGTACTATACCATGTGGTGTATTTTACTCTTGTTTTTCATGTAACGAATATTTACACCTATAAATTCACCAACGGTCTTGAACCTCAAGAAATCCATAGACGGGGATTATTCCGTCCAGGCTCTTAACACCGAGCTGATATAGCTCCTCAAAGTGTGAGTGTGAATATAACACCTTTGTTCTTGTGGAATTATATCGTTCATACATACTGTACCATTATTTGTATTTTTGTTTCTCTCTTTTTTTAAGTTACTCTGCTGGCCAGTATTTCTACAAAACTTATGTACATTTTCTGATTTTTAGCGCTGTTCACCTTTCTATTTTATCTGTTCATTTATCACAAGGTAGAGGAACACCTTGTTGGTGAACTGCAGCTCATCCCTGAGAAGAGAGCGCTTATTATTCTTTTGCATTTGAGCCCAAATATGATTGGCGTAACAACCATAGGGGAAGGAATTGTGATGTCCGCTATATTGGGTCACAAATAAGGAGTGTGACATATCTATGGAATGGAAAAGTTGTAAATTCATAGATGCAATTATTTCTGTGGAAAGTACATAAGAGGAGATAGAACTAAATGTTTCCATTTGGGTTGATGTTGGTCTGGAACACAAGGGGGTGGTCACTTATAGTTGCTATAGGTACGTCTTATCTCCACCTCTGGGCGAGGCTTGGTAATCCACAGGGTATATATCTAATGATACTGAAATGTGTTCTGGCTTGGGGCCAGAATCTAATTCTGGGTGAGTCACCAACTTCCTTCCCAAAAACCTCCTAGGCAGTAGTTTTACTTTGAAAACCTGAGTTAGTGATTAGGACTTTTGTTTTTATCTGTTGTTGGTGTAACTAATTTGATTGTCCTCTATATTTTTGTATGCACGGTGACTTTTTTGTTCATAATAAATATTCCTTTATTAAGTTCTGCCCTTGTCTGGTAAAGAATCATGTTACCTGAGGACACTGATTAGTGTTTTGCAATTACATAGATATTGTGCTAAGTTGCATTTGGTGGGTTTTTATTATTAAGATACCTGGGGGACCAAAGGACCCAATGTATAAATTGTCTTGGTGGTGGCAGCGTTAAAATAGTAATATTTATATTATGGTTAAGTGTGGGTGATGTCAAGGGGGATTTTATCATTATTTCCGGTCTAGTGCAGACAAATGGTGAACTTTAACCCTTTCACCACCACAACTAAGTCACGCATTCGTCACAGTCTGCATTAGTGTATACATTTGAGAATTTACAAACATTAGGGAGATCGTTTATGAATAATGTGAATAGTAGAGAGTTGCTCTCAGAAAAGGACACATTGTGATCGATCCAATACACATGATCAAAACCAGGTTAACAGATGATCACCAATACCAGAGTTTTATTAGTTTTTACAGTAGACTGTCATGGTCTACTGTGTCAAAGGCCTTTGCAAAATCAAGGAAAATAGCTCCAGTTATGCCTCCTTGTTCCATTCCAGTTTGGATGTCATCGCAAACACACATTTTCATTTGTGTTATAATGATTTTAAGAATAAGTAATTTTTCACCATTGGTGGGGGACTGCCTGACGGCCCAGGCAGATCCACAGGCCGCTTGATAGTCATCACATGGCCCCCAGTGGCCTGATTTGCTTTGGGAGGACAGCCTGGGCTGTCCCTCCTGAAGTGCCAGACAGGTAAGTATGTCGGTGGCTCCAGGGGTTTAAAAGTGTTATATGTCGCCACAACGATTTTGAAGCCCATTAAATGCACGACTGCATAGAGCGCCGCAATGGTAGGAAGGGGTTAATGAAGCAATTTTAGTGGATAGATCATGCTCCTAAAAAACTTTCTATTCAGGCAGGCCTAGTCACAAATCCCCTGGCTGTTGCATGCACAACCACACAGCTTGCATGAAAAAAAAAAAAAAAGGGTTCTATTTTAAACCAAATGTTAAAAACAATTTTTTACTTACCGTAAATTTTTTTCCAGAAGATTAGAGGCAGTGCTTTACAACTGGATTTCATCACCTGGAGGGAAAAAAAATCTCCCAAATTTTTCAAGAACCTCCCCCAATTAACCTTTGGCCTTATAAATTGCTTCCTACCCAAGACATCCCCAGAAATTACAAAAGCCGAATAACCGTACCACTCAGACTATTAAACAATTTGGGGGGGGAGGGGGGGGGAAAGTGAGCACTGCCTCTAATCTTCTGGAAAAATAAATTTACGATAAGTAAAAAATTTTGTTTTCCCCTTCAGATTAGAGGCAATGATTTACAACTAAGATATCTAAAAGCAATCCCTTAGGGCGGGACTCAAATCTCACTGCAAAAAAACCTGCGACCAAAGTTGTATCTTCCAAGGTCAACAGACCAAAATGAGTGAAGAGATCACCTCGTGGCTGTTAGGAATTTGAGAGAATGTATAGCAGAAGCCCTCAGGCTTAAAAACTTGGAAGCGGATGCCTGCTTTTCTTTGAACCAATATCTTAAAAAACAACCCTTCCATACTTGGAATAAATCTTGGAACAAGAGCCATTTATAGTAAAAGAAATTGTCAATTTCCTGAGACAAAACATTATCCTTCAGTATCTGGTATACATGAACCAGGTCGTCAGAATTACAAAGTTGAGAAGAGGTACCCTTGAGAATTCCAGGATGCCTATTTACAGGTAAGGTCCCCAAAGATTCCTCCGGATAATCTTAGATGAACGGTGAAACAGCTACTTGCCACCAAGGGAGGAAGACTATCATTCTCACCTTTTCCATCCTATAGGATCTTGGGGAATAGGGAACCAGGCGGAAACTATAGGTTAGACTGGAATTCCCAAGAAAGAAAAGGAAACCGAAGCTTACTGGTCTGTCCAAGCTTGTCCAATGACTGGATAATCAAATTCTTCCTATCGTTTGGGTGAAGATCAAGGAGTACGAACCAATCTGCTTTGTATTAAATGTTGACTACTCAATACTACAGCTAAACAGTGGAATATTAAGTTCTATTCATAAGTGAATAGACCTAACAAAAACTAACCCAAGCATATCCTGGAACAAGATTTTTCAAAGAAGACGACCTTGTTTGTACATAATTGCTACCGATGTAGAACTATCTGACCAGATCTGGACAAGATAATATCTGGTTTTTATCTGAAAGGCAAAGAGAGCTAGCCAGATAGCCTTCGGTCCTATGAAGTTGGATACGTTTTTTCAAAATATCTCCGCTAATTTCCCTTCAACCCTATGAGAACCTAGCTGAGACCTGAAGCATCAGTCGTAAAATTCTGAACAATCGATTTGAGAACTAGAACAAAAAGTAAGAACCGTCTGGCATCCTTCATTTCTGCCTGGTTCAGAAGTATAGGCTTTTACTGCAAAATCTTATCAGCAACTGTATCTGGCCTCTGAAGGACCTGTAAACAGTGCTATGTCTAAAGAAGCTGAAGAGACCAAGCAGGTTCTTACAAGACGGGAACCAAAATTATTTCCCTAGTATCTTGTCTACTGAAGTAGAAGAGATTTCAGGTGATAAGGACAGAGATCACAAATTTTTTCTTCAGGGAATTGCCATTCTCTGAGAGTCAAAATTTTTTAATCTGAACTGTTCCTTGACAAACACCAGAACTGCACACTTCTTGTAAAGGGAATTATTTATCAGAAGATTGATTAGCATCCACCTGTATGCTGTAGAAAAACAACTTTACCTTTAGGGGCTGGAGTACAAAAATTATTGCAGAGATTCAACAAATTTACGGATAGCAACATTTTGCATTGTGAGAGAACCTTTCTTAAAAGAAAACGGCAAACAAACCTAGGCAGTAAACCATCCCTGTCATACCGTATCTATGGCAGTGCAGGGTACAAATTGAACTTGGTGGAACTACACCTTGATCAATAGGCCTGCAGCTGTACTAGAACTTGCTTCAAGTCCAGTAACGAGGAAGAAATAATTTTCCATGGAGATTAGTTCATACAGGTTACCATCTTTATTGGCCGAAGCGAGACTGATATACAGTCATGATCCAGGCCTTCCTTAATCGTAATTGGGAAGCAGAGGCTAGAGCAGACAGAATATCTGCAACTGCATTTAAAAACCTGTTTGATGCAAACTCTGCAGGAACCAATATTAGGAAGCATTTTCTTTAAAATTGCCATTGCAACAGTCAGTTAGCTCAAACCTGTCTTTGTAACTGACAACATAGGACTTGGAATTTAAGACAAACATAAAATGTGCAACCATGGAGTGAAGCACAGGAAAAGTTCTGCCCCAGCTGAAAAACAGACTGCCTTTTTAGAAACTGATATCAGGTGAAACTAGTTGAGGTGGTGAGAATGCTAATTGCAACAAAAGCTTTGTCTACAGCAATTGCTAAAAGCCTACTGCATGTTTTAAGAAAATAAACACTGCGGCTAGGATCCTGACATTTAAAGAATCCATCTGCTACAACAGTATATGAACTTAACCAAAACCAGATTTTAAAAATATCAGCCTCCTAAGGATAACATACAGATGATAATCCTCCAATAGTCATACGGGTCTTGCTCCTGTGAATATATTCCGGAACACTTCACTTTAATTACCGACCCTGTTGCAGAAATTAGTGACATTGAAACCCATATTAACTAATCACTGTGTAGATGCTATTTTGAGCCAGAAAGGAAACTTAAATTTACCCAATAGAATTATGTAAAAGTATATTCTTATCTAATACCCTTTATAGGCTTTAGCACTATTTGTTTTAAGATATTAGGAATAATCTTTAAGTGATGAGAAGCTTAAAAACTCTCCAACTTAGAAACATTTGCGCTTTTTTAGCTTATCCGTCTTGCAGCACAGATAATTAACTTTTTCAGGCTAGAGTCATTTAAGATAAAAGCAAAAAGGCTTACCTTAAATTTCCTCAGAGTGTGTTGGAGGTTGGTGAGAACACACTTGCAACAGATTCTGAGTCCACCTGGCAACAGTTAGTTGCTGCTGGGTAAACAGCCTGTCTAAGTCCTGGAAACCAACATCTTGATCCCAGAGAGAAAAAATAAAAGATATTGGTGCCTGAATTTTAAATCGCATTACGCATGTCCTGCATTTTGCGATTCCATGGTGGAAATAAACATAACCTGTACGAGTGTTCCACCGCCAGGACTTCCCAGCTAGTGCCCAAAAGCGCACCATCGTCTGCCCGGGACCTAGCTCGGTATAGACGGAAGTAATACAACCCGGGGAGATACAGCCGTCTAGTGTGTTATCCCTGGCCGATCTCTGAAAAATTTATTTAAAAGAAGTAGATCCTCCAGAGCCTCAGCCCTCTCACCATACGTCTAGGGAGAAAACCCGATACCCTCCTCTGCCGGAGGCAGGCAAAGAACTGGGAATGTCTTAGGAAGCAATTTATAAGGCCAAATGTTAATTGGGGGAGGTTCTTGAAAAGTTTGGGAGATTGCCTGCCTGTTTTTTCCCTCCAGGTGATGAAATCCAGTTGTAATGCACTGCCTCTAATCTGAAGGGAAAAACATGTTTTAGAAGTGTTTAACTTATGTTCTGTAGATTGAGCTTTAATCATACAAAGAAGGCTCCTGCATGGTCTAAACAGAACAGGAGATGCAAAATTCTAAAATGAAAGATTGTGCAATAAAGGAAGTTTAAACATTAGATATCTCTTTACAGGAAGTGTTTTGGAAGGCTGTCTAAGTCACATACAGGGGGGTGTACCTAGGGCTGTATACAGAGTGATTTAACTCCTAAAGTTGTATTGTAAATTAAGACAGAGTATGCCTAAAACATAGCCTGCACTTTAGTTGATGGCTGAATAAACCACAAACATTTCACTAATGGGTGCTGAGAATGATCAGTTTTTGAATTCTCATTTTGAATAGCAAAACTTACCTGCTAGCACCTACCCCAATTTTGGTAACTAAGAGTGCCAACCAATTAATTTCTAGGCTGATTATTTTTATACATGGGCTCTACGCCTGCTTAATGTTGTAATAAATCAGGAGCAGCCCATCACCTCTGTGCTACTTGGGTTAAAGGACCACTATAGTGCCAGGAAAACAAACTCGTTTTCTTGGAACAACAGTGTTAATAGCCCCCTCCCCACCCGCCAGGCTCTATGGGGAGGAAGGGGTTAAAATCTTACCTTTCTCCAGCGCTGGGCTCCCTTGGTGCTAGGGACTCTCCTCCCTCTTCCCCCGAAAGAGCATGCTCGGCAAGAGCAGCGCGCGCGCATTCACTCAGTCCATAGGAAAGCATTCTCAATGCTTTCCTATTGACGCTGGGGTCTTCTCACTGTGAAAATCACAGTGAGAAGCGCGGAGGCGCCTCTAGCGGCAGTCAATGAGAGCCACTAGAGGCTGGATTAACCCCAATGTTTCTCTGAAATGGCTATGTTTACAGCAGGCAGGGTTAAACCTAGATGGACCTGGCACCCAGACCACTTCATTGAGCTGAAGTGGTCTGGGTGCCTATAGTGGTCCTTTAATGAGGAAGCATTAGGCTCAGCCACAATGGGCAGCAATGGCTGGGTGACAGCTGGTTACTTTCAGCCTACCAAAGCACCTTTTACTGAATTTAATTAGGTAATGACAGTACTAGTAAATACTCAAGCAAAAATACTCTTTATTCAAATATCATGAATCCAGGAGGGTTCTTACCAACAAAGACAAGAACAAATCACAAAAAAATAAAAATTAAAAAAACTGGACAGCAATGCAATAATGTACAGTGCGTTTATAAAGAAAACCTCTACACTACCGGTTATATTCCAGTAGGCTCACTAAGTATTGTTTTTTTTAAACACCTCTAAACATTTAATGTAATTGTTACATGGCAGAGGTTCTGGTCTGCATTAAAGCAGCACAACACGCGCAAGACTTTATTAAATTTGGTAGTTTGTGATAACACATTCAACTCCTTTACACTATCTCACACTTTTCCTCTATGCCATTTCTAAAAGGAAACAAACTTCAGCCACAACTACTTGGATGAAGCCGACGGATTGCGTATAGAGTGCTGCTTTAAGATTGACAGCTACGTATAAACATCTGCCTTGTGTTTCAGGTAAGAAGTATATTTGAACGGGGCAAGGCTCTAAACAGATCAGAAATATATTATAAAAAAAAAAAAAAAAAAAGTTTAAATTCCTGAAATAAATATAAAACAGCCCATAAGGGGGTTAGAAGGACCACCCCTAACACCATGAGAGGCAAACTTAAGCCTCTACTGGAGAGGCAGATCTAGAGCGTGGTTTAGGAGAGGAACTGTCAGCTTCTTTAGAATCGCCAACATTCATGGCTTCCTCCTCAGACTCTTCCGCAACACCAGTGATTTCAGGAGGTGGTGGTGGTGGTGGTGGTGGTGGCAGAGGCTCAGGATCGTCCTCAGCTGCAGTTCCAATGGCCTCTCCTTCCTCAATTTCAGCTTCCTGGTCAGATTCTGTAGTAAGAGCAATAGTGTCCTCTTTCTTGATTTTCTTGGCCCTATCCCTGCTTCGGCTTCTTTCAGTACGGCTACGCTTACCACTTCTTTCCTTACTGCGACTACGGCTGGAACGTCTGCTACGTCCACTCCTTCTTCTCTTGTCTCTGCTGCGGCTTCTCTCTCTGCTCCGGTTAGCTCTCTTATGCTTACTCCTGTGGCTGTCTCTCCCTTCCCTACTGTGGCTACGCCTCTCCTTGCTTCTGTCGCGTTCCTTACGGTCTTTGCTTCGGCTTCTCTCTTTGCTCCGACTACCCTCTCTTTCCCTCTTTTCTTTACTTTGACTTCTTTCTTTACTTGCACTATCCTCTTCTCTTTCCTTGCTCCTGCTCCGCTCTTTACTTTGGCTGTCTCTATTCTCTTTGCTTTTGCTTCTACTTTCCCTTTCTCTGCTTTCCCTCTCCTTGCTATGACTCTTGCTTCTTTCCTGTCTCTCATTGCTATGACTTCTGCTTCTCTCTTTGCTCCTGCTTTCTCTCTCCTTACTACGGCTTTGACTGTCCCTCTCCCTTCTTCCCTTACTTCTACTTCGACTTCCACTTCCTTCTCTTTCTTCACTGCCATCCTTCCCACGGCCCTTGCTGCGACTCCTGCTCTCCCTCTCCTTGCTGCGACTCCTGCTCTCCCTCTCCTTGCTGCGACTCCTGCTCTCCCTCTCCTTGCTGCGACTCCTGCTCCTTTCCCGCCGTCTGCTCCTGCTGCGAGACCGTGACCTACAAATACAAAGACAAAGACAAGGACAAGATTTGTTAAAAAGGCAGCCACATGTCCCTTTTGAGAAATAAACTATGTACACCATGTCAACACATGCAGAAACATCTACTTGATTTCTGATTCCAACTAACCTGGATCTGGAGTGGCTGCTTCTGCTTCTCCTTGACCGGGATCTGAAATATGTGTTAAAAATGTTATCAATATTTGAAAAGAAAAATTACAGTTAACACACAACCAATGCTAATATCTCCCAGACTATTCTATATATCAAAGACTAAATATGGGAAGGCGTTACATTAGCAAATCCTTCTTAAAGCAGCACTGTCACCGTTTGACATCAGTCTAAATGAGGCTTAGGAGAAATACATAGAAAACATAGTCCCTACTTTGTCTCTGTAAATCTCTTGACTGAGTTGAAATTTAAGGGAAATCCTAACATTCAAAATGAGTATTTTAAAATGTTTTTATCTTTATGAAATACTCTTTTTCAGGGTGGGGTTGAGAGTGCCACTTTAGCTTTGAATCCCTTATCTACTGAAATATTGCATTCAAATAGTATAAGAATAAAAAATAAAATACAATAATGGACTGAGAGAGTGTTTTTGCGTGCCTCTCTTCAAATATAAGGGAAATCAATGTTAAATCAAACTTAACGAACGCCAACAACTGTTGCCGATTTAATCCCCAGAGTTGGTGCATCAAGAATTTGTGTTCAGTTTTAACAATGTTACTTGTTAACGTAACTAATATTTCATAGTGCTTCTCTTAAAGACTATCATGAGCAGACTCAATTTTGGCTGCTTTTATGACAATCAATAGTCCAAATTAATTTTCCATTCTCTAAGCTTAAAGCAGCTTGTCACATCAAACTTACTTTTCCTCAATCGATTCTTATCTGCATGGGCTACTTTACCTTATGTATTTCCTCCACTTGATAAAGGGCAGAACTTAAAGGACCACTCTAGGCACCCAGACCACTTCAGCTTAATGAAGTGGTCTGGGTGCCAGGTCCAGCTAGGATTAACCCATTTTTATAAACATAGCAGTTTCAGAGAAAATGCTATGTTTATAAATGGGTTAAGCCTTCCTCCAAAGCCTCTAGCGGCTGTCTCATTGACAGCCGCTAGAGGCGCGTGCGTGCTTCTCACGGTGAAAATCACAGTGAGCACGCAAGCGTCCATAGGAAAGCATTTTCTTGCCGTGCGCATTCAGCCGAATGGGCGGAGAGGAGGAGGATCGGAAGAGGAGAGCTCCCCGCCCAGCGCTGGAAAAAGGTAAGTTTTTACCCCTTTCCCCTTTCCAGAGCCGGGCGGGAGGGGGTCCCTGAGGGTGGGGGCACCCTCAGGGCACTATAGTGCCAGGAAAACGAGTATGTTTTCCTGGCACTATGGTGGTCCTTTAAGGCAAATGCTGCTTCCTTTGGTAAGAAAAAAAAAAACAGCATACTTACTTGCCCGTCACATCCATGGGGCTCAAATCTCGCTATTCTCCATTAACTGTGCCCAATGATAACATTTCTCTCAATCTACCAAAATGTTTAGTGATGAAATGACCAATTGGGATAGTACCAGGTTATCCTGTGCATGGACCCCATTTATAGGAACAATTATAAAAGAGAAGAAAAATAGAACCCTGAAAAGAGGTCTCAACTTGTAAATAAATTATATTACAGCAAAAGAAACAATCTGTTACTGGGTACATATACATTATTATGCTATGCCTAATGTGCACTGTAAAGAAATCAAGTGTTTCAATAGGTAACACTAGAGAGGGATATAGAAAACAGCTGATACAAAGGGTTGTTTATTTTCTTTTATTTCACTTCTGCACAAGTGGCACTTCACTATGAAAATCTAGTTCAGCAATAGTAAGACTTGGGTTAGCATTAGACAGTAGTAGGCTGCTGTCATTACACCAACCGAGGGACTTTGGCTTCTTGAAATTTTGGTATCAGTGGCTATTTGTAGCTTTTCTTTATCTATGCCTCACTCCTCTTCTACATATAGATTGGCAGTAGGTAGCAGCACGTTAAGCAACAACCGAGATATTCCGTTTTACTGTTTACAAAGTGGGAACTTTCCACTTTAGTAGAGATATATAGCTATATATTAAACCAAGAGGGCTGCACTCACCTGAACATGCATATATAATGGGGTGCGTCTGGAGCCAAAATATACAATCCAGCACACTCACTTATTCACCAAAAAAAAAAAAATAATAATAATAAAAAAAAAGGATTTCACATCTTAATTGTAAAAGTTTTATTTAAAAACACCTCACTTAGGCAAAAAAAATAATGGGGGTTTAGTTACATTATATGATCATATATTGCATAAGACTGCCACAACGTCAATGTATCCCATTCTTGGCAGGTCCTACTCTAGCAGCCTAATGCTTGCTCCTATGAGATTAATCCACTTAGTGAATAAGTGAGTGCGTTGGATTGTGTGTTTTGTATATTTTGGCCCCACCAGCACCCTATAATGTATGCATGTTCAGGTGAGTGCAGCCCTCTTGGTTTTTTTTATTTATATATTTGGGAGTCCAGGCCAACTCCTTGGTTTTGCACCCCTCCCTATCACAGGTGCATGATTCCAGGACCCTATTTGGCCTTCACTAGCAGAGAGTGCCAGTAATGAAGTATTTCCCAAGTACGTGGATTAATCTCATAAGAGATAGGCTGCTAGAGTAGGACCTGCCAAGAATGGGGTACATTGATGATGTGGCAGGCTTATGCAATATATGATCGTATAATGTAACTAAACCCCCTTATTGTTTTGCCTAGGTGAGGTGTTTTTAAATAAAACTAGTACAATCTCTAAGATTTGAAATCATTGTTTAGTGAATAAGCGAGTGCGCTGCTTACTCGGAGGATGAAGACTCATTTCTATAATATCCCTCTAGGTTTGTCTATTTATTGCCTCAGAGGTGTGGAGATTTATTTTAGAATTTCTTTAATCTACTTAAAGGACCACTCTAGGCACCCAGACCACTTCAGCTTAATGAAGTGGTCTGGGTGCCTGGTCCAGCTAGGGTTAACCCATTTTTTTAATAAACTGCTATGTTTATTAATGGGTTAAGCCTTCCCCCTATTCCCTCTAGTGGCTGTCTCATTGACAGCCACTAGAGGCGCTTGCGTGCTTCTCACTGTGATTTTCACAGTGAGAGCACGCAAGCGTCCATAGGAAAGCATTGTAAATGCTTTCCTATGAGACCGGCTGAATGCGCGCGCAGCTCTTGCCGCGCGTGCGCATTCAGCCGGCGGGGCGTAACGGAGGTGGAGAGGAGGAGGAGAGCTCTCCGCCCAGCGCTGGAAAAAGGTAAGTTTTTACCCCTTTCCCCCTTCCAGAGCCGGGCGGGAGGGGGTCCCTGAGGGTGGGGGCACCCTCAGGGCACTATAGTGCCAGGAAAACGAGTATGTTTTCCTGGCACTATAGTGGTCCTTTAAGCTTTCTGTAGTTATACTAGACGGCACTATACTGATGTGTTTGGCAGATATATAGTGTTTCAAAGGATTGAATTAAGAATTAAGCTTCTCCATTTTACTTTCTATATACACTTGTTGTATCAGCATTGCGACAAAAGGTTTTGGATGGGCCTGTTTGCCAGCCTCCTACCCTGTGACTATGGCCCCTGCTAAAATAAGGTTACAATTCAGTTGCCAAGGTAATTTACACCAATCAGTCAAAAAAAATCCTACAGAAGGGTAAAGTTTAGAAATTAGGGACAGAGGAGAATAAAATGTAAGCAGATGGATATTGAGCAGTAAAGTGTCCATTGCACCTCACAGAATGCAGTCAAAGTCACTTCAACATACATTCATAAATCATTTAACTATAGACCTGGCTAAAATACTTTAAAAGGCTCTGTTCATGTGAAGTATGTACTTTTGTACTCCAGACAGAGAGACCGACCACTGGCACTAATGCTCTAGAACTGTTTTTGGCATGGGACCAGGTCCACGGTCGGTCAAAAATAATACTTCCAGGAAATTCCTGAACTGATCTGGGTGATTTTTGGATATGTTGGTCACCCAGATCAGGGCTATCAGAGAATGTAACATGTGTGGGGTATTTTTGGGGTGTTTTTAAAAAGTATATTTTTTCTGTGCTTTGAGATAATTGGATTAGAATTAGTACAGTTACTGATCCAATTATCTCCCAAGCAGAGGGGAGGGATTGTGCGCTGTCTGTGGGAGTGTTGTGCCTTGTAACCTTATTGTTATTGGTCTGTGAAGATGCAGATCAGTCCCCCACAAGGTCCCTGTGGGCGTACCCCTTGCATGGGGATTGTCATATAAGGCGAAGTGTGGCTCCCATTAAAGAGATTCGTTTACACCTTCATGAAGTCTTGGCTCATGTTTGGGGGATTGGAGAACTACATTCACTCTGGGGATCGCTATATCACAATACTCCCCTGAGTATAATCACTAGCTCTTATAAGAGCTGTTCCTGCAATGCACTCTGGACTAGGAGAGGTCTACCCACTGGAAGCTGGATCCTAATCTTGGGTCCAGGGTGGGTGGAGAACGGCGAGATCCCAATTAAGCTGCGGCGGTTCGTGGGGTTTACGGTGTTCCTGTACAGTGCCTATGGTACGCGCAAAAACTAGGAAGCATCGATTGAGGAGGATACCCGGCTGGGGTGCCAGGCAGTCCGTCACAAGCATTTATTTTTTATTTTATTTTTTAGTGCATATGGTTGCAACAGACATGCTTGTGGTGCCCCAACGGCAATCCACACGCTGGTTTCAAAACAAGAGGTACAGTGGGGGATGGGTAAACAATGCACATTTTAAAGTATAGTATAGATTGACAGTTAAATTAACAGGTTTGAGTAGTAGGAGTCTACGCTTGTAAGGACACATGTGGTGCAAGAGTACAACGTTGGTTATAAGTGCCATATCCTATGCATTGACATGCGGTCACTGCTTAGTACAAGATATAGATTAACCATTAAGCTAAATCCATGTATGTCGTTTTAGAGAGGCTAGAGAGATTGGAACAATTAGCAAGACTGTCACCCTAGTGTGTTTAATTCTGCGTCTTTCGCTGGGTTCCTCACTCCCCATTATAACTTATAAAAAGTATAACAATATAAAAAAATGTACATGGAGAAGTTAAGTCTTTGCCGCCACGCCTAGTCATCTTCCTCTTGTGGTCCAAAACACTTATAGAGAAGCATTGAGGGACAATTGGCACATGTCAGGCAAGCACTGTGAACGTGTTACAGCTGCAAGAAGGGTGGACAGGGGAGGGGCCGGCTGCTGTCACGGGTGGGAGAGGCGGGCTCTTGGAGGGAGGAGAGCTAAGACACATTGTTAGGGTTTCTACTTGTAGGTGTACTCACAGTGCTGTCTGCAAGGGGAGAAGCAAATTACATCACCAGCATGCGGTACATGCTAACAAAAGATGTACATTTTGACATTCGGCGGTTCTGGTCTGCCCAATTCATATGTGCAACTAGACTATGGCACAAAAGTGCAGATCTCGGTATAGGTGGTGTTTCAAGCAGAAATGCTGCACATGCAGATTGCTTGCACAATGACCACTTCAAAAAGCAGATGTGGTCATGGACATTGGAGTGACCCCTTATTAAACCTTGTACTTAACAATTTTCTTTATTTCACCTTTAGTTCGTTAGAAGTAAAGACTTTTTTTTCCCAGGGGTGGCGTGATCTTTGGTAATGGGAGATGCTAAAATAAGGTTACAATTCAGTTGCCAAGGTAATTTACACCAATCCATCAGAGGAGAATTAAATGGAAGCAGATGGATATTAAGCAGTAAAGTGTCCATTGCACCTCACAGAATGCAGTCAAAGTCACTTCAACATACATTCATAAATCATTTAACTGGCAAAAGAAGCATTAGTTCATACCGTGAGCGACTGCGGGAAGAAGAACGCTTAACCCAAGAGCCAGCCCTATCCTCCACTAGTCGTATTCTACGTCCATTAACCTCTGTTCCATCCAGCTTCTCCAGGGCTCGTCTCATGTCAGAGTAAGAACGGAACTCAATGACTCCTTCATTTTGACGTCGCTGATGAGCGTCAGCAAAGGTTACCTCTCCAGCCTGGCGCATGAAGTCCTACAGGACACATAAGGATTTGGAAAAACATGAGGAAATTACGCAAACATCAACAAAGTTAAAATAGAGGGAGCGAAAAAAATATTTAAAAATACAAACCACACATATATAAATGGTTTAGCCAGGCCTTAAAGTTACTTGCCAATGCAAGTCATAATATACCCCGCAGGGTGAATTTCTACTCACCAGGGCTTGCTGTACATGTACATCATACATTTCTATTCAGTTTCTGTCCACGGGTATGCATAATAGTACAACCAAGAAATTGAATGTTTCAATGTCTCTTCCTCATAAGCAATGTTTGCACTGGCATTGTTTTGTCAGAAAATTAAACATTGTCCTTGTCAATAAAGGAAGACTCTAAGCAATGTAGTGGTGATGGTGCCAGGATTGTCCTGATGTCATCCAACAGTAAAACGTCAAGACATTTGCTAAAGGTTTGACAACTCACCAGCAGTCAGCTGGGCACCGGACACATCCTTCCAGAGAGCCAAAAGTTTTCTGCTAGCCTGGCGATGCAAGTTTTATAGGTACTGTAACAGCTTAATTTCACTGAAGTGGAATCTTGAGTACCCAGACGCTGTTCTTCCACATATTAATGCCAACAGTCCCCAGCAGCCCATGCCATCTGTGCTGCTTGGGCTAGAGAGGAAGCAATAGTCTGAGCAGTAATGGGTAGCTGTGATTGGCTGAGTTGTCAAATTACCACTTTCAGCCTTTCACAGTACCCACTGCTGGTATGAATTGGTAAGGCTAGAAGGAAGGGAGTATTCTCTGCTTCACAATATTTGCAGGGTGTGCCAGGTTGTTGGTGACAGGAACCCTCATTAAGTGATATTCATTTATCAATCATTGTGTATACAGTCTATAGTATCCCTTTAACACATTGACTGGAGTGATCAATTGACAGCTGTGCAGAAAGCAGAGACAGAAGATTCTAGGAATGGACAGTCAATATTTCTCACCTTAAGGTCCTGCCAACTACATCGTGTAGAAAGGTTCTCCACCCTCAGTCGGTACATTGTGCGTATTGGAGGACCAAACTTGTCACTGCTGCTTTTACGATATCCATAACCGCCTTTGACACAGGGACAGAGGGAAAAAATGTTTAGAGGAAGCCAGAATGCACAGGCAAGATTGTGTGGTACATTATGTACTGGGCCAATTTATACTATGTGTATGCATGTAACATGTTTGCTACCATTCACAAATTAAGTATCCCATTAAAAAAGCCAAATTTAAAAATTGGCCTGTGTGCTTAGTGCCCTAACTATTCCAACCTCCCAATACTATTATGAAAACCCTTTGACATGTGTCCCCCCCATCCACACCCAATTTAATAAATGCCCCATGCACCCTTCACTTACCTTGGAGCAGGGGACTCCCTTCAGCCGCCCGCGCTCCCTCTGCCTGCCCAGCGTCGGACGGCTGCCCCAGGCCCCCCACGACTGGAAAACCCAGCGCGCTCCCCCACGCACGCGCCCCCCCAGCGTCACCTCCTCGGATCTCGCGAGAAGAAGAGAGAGGAGGGGGAGGGAAAGGAAGAGGTTGCAGGGAAAGAGCGCTTGGAGGAACGCTTGTTGCGTCAGCCTCATGATACACTCCCTATGGCCTTTCATTTAACAGGTCACAGAGCTGCAATCACTACATGATTTCCTCCCCCATTCATCAGCATTTTTACACAAGAGAGGATTTCTTTGGAAATTAAGACATTGATGTCTAACATAGATTAAAATAGGATGACGTTTTAAAGACTGCAGCTTTATCAGTAACGAGGTAAACAATTCTTCTGCTATTAATACAATGAAGAATTTCCTCAATTACTCCCAATACATAGTTCAATCATAGGTTAGGACCTGTAGGTTTATATACAAAAACAAATCTACTCTTTGACTCACAGTATGTTACATTACATTTAAGATTGCATATCTTGCATGCAATAGGATTTCTATTAAAAAACAAGGCTGAGCCATTAGTAGATTTGCTCATTAAACTTTAAAAGCAAACAAAATGAAAAACATGTTATAAAATTGTGCAATTTGGCTTTTAATACGGTCTTCAAATATCTGTGAACATCAGACTATTGTACACAGAGAACATAGTTTGTGACATCTTTGCATAATGCAGGAAACCAGGTATGTACAATGCTTTACCAATTCCATACCAAATAGCAAACACTAATGCAGAACATGAATATGAACTATATACAGGGGGTGGACAAATAATAGACAAACCTACCAATATAAGTTATGAATGATCTAATATGGGTAGTGCCACCTTTGCCATCAGAACATTTTCAATCCTTGGAATGACATCACGCAGGCAATAAAGCGAGTATATTAGGATACACTTGTCTACCTCACACTCTGTGCTCGATAACATCTGCAAAGGTTTTAGATAGTGGAAGATACTTCAAATCATCTTTCCACTCATGAAACCACTCTCTTTTACCCATGTATATTATCTTAACAGAACTAGGGAACATTGTGAGGAATAGTTCCTTAGCACCACAGAATGCATCAAGCTGTAAAATAACCTGTTACATTGGCCATTCAGAGCATTAAACAGATCTAATGACTTGCACAAAATGGGTATTTATATATATGTCACTCCATATCGCCTTCCAATTGCTTTCTGAATAGCAGGCACATCATTAATACCACTAATGTGACCCAATGTGCATATATGTATTTTGACAAAGATGTGTTAATTCAAATTGGTTTTAATGCTATACTTCTGCATGTCTCTTTTTCGCAGTGAGCTGTAGTTTCCATTAAATTTTCTCTCAGAAGATTGGATGCATTAATGGATTTATCTGGGCAGCTTTTAATGACCGTAAAATATTTTGTAATTAGTGAGTAATGCACTTGCAGTTCAGGAACCAGCTAACTTGCATATCTGGAATTCTATTAGATGCTTTGAAGATTCTTGTCAATTGTCAGACCACCTAAACTGTTACCGAATATTATTCACTTTTGCAAGTTCAACTGAGATTTAATTTGTTCTATTCAGTCTCCATTATCTTGTCCACCCCTGTAGTCAAGTAAATGTCTGCAAAACGTCCACATCTTAAAAATAAGGTTGATTAGACGTAACGGGCATGATAAAGGAGCACAATACAATGTGTCACAAAATCTATTGCTTTTGCTCTTTTACAGATATTGTTACAGGTTCACCTCCATAGGAACAACTGACCTTAAGGTCTGACCAGTGATCTCTGAGCTGGTGTCGCATCCTCTTGTTCGGCAGCGGACACTTCTCTATACAGCTCAGGATTGGTAACAAAATATTTGAAAATTCAGGTTTGTATTAGGCTTAAAAAAAACAAACAAAACAAAAAAACAAACTTTTTAAAAAAAAAATCAACGCAGCGCAAAGCTACACACAACCGTGTACTTACTACGGGTATCTCTCCTTGGAGCACGTGCATGTTCCACAATAACGCGCTCTCCACAGAGGTCTCTCCCATTCATTTCGTACACTGCATCATCTGCATCACGAAGATCCTCAAACTCCACAAAACCATACCTGACAAAAAAACAATAGGAAAGATTCAGGATTAAATGGAAAATATGGGGTAAATCCAAACAAACATACTTTTAAAAAGTATTGTAAACTATTGGTTCTACCTGCAGCTACATCCCTGTGCCACACTAAAAGATACTCTTATCTCATTTATTTCTGCAAATAAGTTTATGGGACAAATAGTTTATCCAAGAGCAGTTCCACTCCACATAGGACAAGTGGAACTCTTCTGGTAATTAAGAGCAACCATATTTAGTGAAACTGGCTATGTTAAAGACTTACACCATCCCCTCCCCTCCCTCCCCCCACCCAAAAATAAAAAACCCCAACAGCTGTCAAACAATGCCTGTTTCAAATTTAAAAAAAATAAAATAAAGCTAAAAAAACAAAACAAAAAAAACAAACTTACCTCTATGACAGCATCTAGTTCAAGTTCTCCCCTCAGTCCGATCATGCTCAACTGATGTCACGGCTTTGGATGTCATGGAGGATGGGCTGAAGTAGGGACATGAATACCATGGGTAGGTGGGAAGGGGTGGCATACGGTCATTTGGACGCCATTCACCAACATGCTGTGTGTGCTGATGTCCAATATTACCATTAGCCAACCGGAACTCTAATTGAGGGGTTAAACTCTGTATGCGCAGTGTATCATAGTAAAACACTGAACACACAAATGCCAGGTCATGATGCATGGTTGGTGTAACCTCTAAAGGATCAGCTCTCTCACAAGAGAGGAGAGCGCTGACCCAAGTTGTATGTGTGATGTGCCTTTGCTTTATGCAAAATGTGGACAAAATTGATACAGCTAACTCTTCTTTTAAGCTGATTGATGGCAGCTGGAAATGGTGTTACCCTCAGAAACAAAAATATAAAATGTCTTGGAAGTTCCAGTCATACTGAAATGCTGCACATCCCAAACCCTTGCGTTACATACTCTTTAAAGGGATTTTATAGTCCCAGGAAAACAAAGCAGTTTTCCAGGCACTATAGGTTTAATAGGTGACCCCCTGCGGAGCCACTTACCTGAAACCAGCGCTGGTGTCCCTCTGCGCTGGGTCAGGCTCCGCCCAAGCTCCTCCCCCACCAACGTCAGCAGACGGGGGAGACCTAATGTCCTTGCGTAGCAAAGGCCGCGTGCATTAGACCTCCTCACAGGAAAGCATTATTCAATGATTTTCTATGGGGAAAATCTAAGCTGGAGGTCTTCATGCAGAGCGCGAGGGCGTCAGATAATGGACCAAAAATCAGTTTGGATTCCAGACGCGTCCCCAGTGGCTAGCTGGTAGACAGTCACTGAGGGAAGACAGAGATGCAATGTAATCATTGCAGCACAAAGTGCAATAGGGGCACAGCACCCAGACCACTTCAATTAGCTGAAGTGTTCTGGGTGCCTAGTGCCCCTTTCAGCAAAATGAAGTGGTTATAGTGCACAGAGTAACCCATTAACAATCTGAGTTTCTAATTATATGCTTGGTACGTAAAAACAACAACAAAACCATAAAATAATTTGACTTTGTTGCAATTTCATTGTAACTCCAACAAAGTCAAAATACATAAGGTAAAGTAGCACTAGTGACAGCTGTGTGGAGAAAGGCAGTGTATATTGAGACACAAGCAGTCTTGTGGGATACACCATATGACTCAATGTTATATTCTTGTGCATGCGTGAGTACAGCACACTGATGTGGGGACCTGGCAGATGAAGAGTCAGGAGCTGGAAAGGATGCACCGGATAAAAGGGACTGTAGCTGCAAGGGACAACTTCAGGTGCATAAAATTTGCCTTCCTCTGCACTGTGTGGTCACCACACTGCAAGCGACTATGTCACCATCATGGGTATTTGTAAAATATGCAATTACCACAGACTTTAACAGAGCCACTTTAAGTAGCCTAGAGATGTTTAGCCTGATGTATATAGTCTATTAACTAAAAATACAATCGTAATCATTGAAAGTTAAAAAAATACCCCCCAAAAAGTGTCATGTCACTTGATTTTTCTTTTTTGCAATGAGTCCCATGGCACATATTAGCTTGCACTGCAACACCTGAGAAAGGAAGTATATATACTCATCAGAAATATCTACTGGATCAGCTCCTGACAAAAGCAGTCAGTTATTGCATAAGAGTGATGGCTAATGGAAAATGACCAAATGCAGCAGTGGGATATTTATCCTTATAAAAAAGTATGCAACAACATTGGAAAAGTCATTGAGCAGGGTATGTGGTCTCCCTTCCCAGTGAGTCTTACAATCAATTTACAAAAATCTTCAACAATAATCTTGCTGAAATGTCATTCTATGCTTGTTTATCTATCCACTGCAAAGATAAATAATGCAAAAAACAAAACACCAGAGCACAACAAACACATCATGGGAGCATTTTCTTTTCAATTGTGAAAGCTGCACATTCACATGAGGACTCTGGAGTGTCCAAGCATGGTTGGTGGCTCTGCAGACTGCAGCACACACACACTCACTCCATTTACAACATATTTACAAAATACCTTGCAAATGTACACACACACACACAGCTGCAGACATACACACACACGTGCTTATAAACTGTGCAGCATGGCTTCTATCAGCTTATAAAGTCAATGGCACTGTGTGATTAGCATTACTGGGGGCTACACTAGCCATCCCTCTGAGTGCAATGAGCTCCGCACACTGTAGTAACGGTGTATAATAGCTATAATACCATGGGACATTATAAAGGTCCGCTCTGGCGGGATCCTCACTCCCCGGGAGAGGCCCAGCCACCGCTGACAGACACACCGGGAACCGGGTCATCTATCCCCGCCCGGTACACCCGCTCCTCGTGACACTCACCCGTTTTTCAGATCCACCTCCACGATCTTGCCGAATCCCTTGAAGAATCGCTCCACGTCCCGCTCCCGCGCTCGGTGGCTCAGGCGGCCGATGTACACCCGCGGCATGGACGATGATCGCGACATGTCGCCGCAGCGCTGCTAGTGAGAGAGAGCTCCCCGGGCAGAAACGTTGTGTGAGCGTCCTGTGCTGGGGACTGCGCGCGGTCCCGGTCTCCCACGGAGCCTCCTCGACACAGCGACGGCGACAAGCTGCGCGCGAGTGCAACCGGAAGGAAGTCACGTCGGAGGGGCGGGACGCAAACGTGCGCGGTGACGTAGTGACATTGCAATCGAGCGCTAAACAGCAGGGACACAACTACACTGTGACTGTGACTGGGGGCCGCCATATTCTCAGGACTCAGACAGGGGAGCTAAGCCCAGGCTTTTCCAAGGTTCCTATCCAGGAGAAGGAGCCTGTCCTTTGGCGGAGGATAGCAGCTGGGTTGCTCAGTGTGAATAGACTAGCTCCTACCCTTGTTAAGGACATTTCCCCCATCTCCCCCCCCGGTCAGGCCCTGTATGGGGGTCGGAGCTGCCCAGCTCACAGTGAGAGAGCCACTTCCCATCCGGCTCAATGACCTTTATAGCTGCCGCTCACACGGGTCCCTTACCGGGTGGACAGATCCCACACTGCTGGGGGACCGTTACACCTTCCGCTAACTGTGACCCTTTACACGGAGAGGAACTCACAGTTTTTATTGATTGCCAACTTCTCCGCCAGAGGGAATGAGTTTGTTATGTGGCGCCCAATACAGCACATACAGCAATGCAGCACATACTGACACGCAAAGACCGGCCGGCTCATGGTGACTGGATGCTGCGGGCCGCTAGGGAGACTCAGTTGCTCCCAACTTCGTAAAGCTGTAGCAGCGTGGAGAGTGGGGGCCAGTGTGTGTGGGTGCAGGTCAATGTGAAAGTAAAGGGATGCAATTGCTGGTAGTGGAGAAATTGGAGTGGGCAGTATCTAGACGCACGCAGGGTGAGGGAGGATGTATGGCACTGTGATTAGATACAACACCCATATTCATGCCATTGCTTTGAAATAAAATTAACAAACACACAAACTGTTGATGCTGAGATTTTCTTTTGACTTCCGCAGTGTCATTTTATACCTATATTTATTGTTTAGTTTATGGGTAATGGTCTGGTTTGTTTCTGACTCCAAACATTTTTCCATTTCACGTGGACTCATAGAGGGTGATTTTGTCCAGGGAGTTGCAGTCGCAAGTGTCAGGAAAGTGAGAAAAGGTGCATTGGCTGTTATATTTATAACATCCATTGCACCTTTTTTTATACATCACAACCTTGTATATCGCAAGCACGTCACATGCGTAGCATAGCACACGACCATCTTTGTTCCCTCTCTTCTAGTAATGCTACTCCCTCCTATTCTAAGAACACTCCGCATAGTAATGCCCCCTAGACAAAGAATCAATTTGTTGCATGCATATTTTATGCTGGCTGCACAACCTTTTCATGCTGTTAGTTAAGAGTTGTCAATATTTATACAAAAATATAAGTCCTGCGCTCATTTCCATCATTACTGGGTGGCAGCAATGACCACAATACACATCAGCCCCAATATATACAGTAAAAATCAAAGAAAAAGTTACATGCACTCTCTTCTGAATCCCTATGCATATTTAAACAAATGGAGGTCATGTAGTTACTCCAATGGCCATTGAATGGAATGCCCGTCTGCCAACGTCAAGGTAGACCTCCCCTCGGCGGGTCATGTCGAATCAATCAATTATCTTGCATATCTGCTCCCAGACAAATTTAAAAAGATGCGTGCACGCTCCTGAAGTAATTCACACCAGACACAGGTTTCGGGTTAATGAAAAACTTGAGGAATGTTTATTCTGAGGGGACGGCATGCCCCTTACAAAATTACATCATATGCATTGTCAGAGATAACATGGAATAATACATCAATAATTGGTTAGGTGTTAAGTGGTTCATTTAGTGCCATTCCTACCGGGTGTGATGTCACTGATATCTTGGAGGTCTCCTCCAGATTCCAGCGCCATCTTGTTAATGAGGGTGTTAGTCGATGTCAAAGGGAAACTCCATAGCGGCCATTTTAGGTAAATCACATATAAGGTTGAATAATGCTGATTGTGGTTATGCTGAGTAAATAGGCATTTTATTAATATGAATTGGGTTAATATTTTTTGTCCACAACAGCGGGGTCCTACACTGATCTTTCACCTTGCTTCCTTGAGCTTCTGGCTCATTAGAGATATCCTTGCCATATGTATGTCTTTGTCCCTTCAAGCCGCTCTGTATGTTTCTTTGTCCCCCCCAAGCTCCTCTGTGTCTCTTTGTCCCAGCCAGCCCCTCTGTGTGTCTCTTTGACATCCCCCTGCCCATCTACCTATCTTTTTGTCCCCCCCATGCAGCACTGAGTCAGGAAGCACCTCCAGTGGCCATCTAAGGAGTGGCCACTTGGAGGTGTCCCTATGGGCAATGTAAACACTGCCTTTTCTCTGAAAAGGCAGTGTTTGCATGGAAATGCCTGCATGTAATGATTATACTCAGCAGAAAAACTACATTAAGCTGTAGTTGTTCTGGTGACTATACTGTCCCTAAGCCATATTTCTAACATGCTGTTAAATGTGATACAAAGCCCTTAACCCCTTAAGGTCACAGCTTCAGAAGCTTGTCTTATGCTTAATGACACAAGCAATTTTTGCATTTTCTTGCTGTTTGCGTTCAACTGCAATTTGCATCGCTCTCGTTTATTGCACCGACACATATTATATACTGTTTTTTAAAGGACAGAAAGAGCTTTAATTGTATGTAATATATGTTAAGGCGGAGCCTGTAGTTGTGGGAGGGGTTAACCGGCCTATTTATACCCAGTCCTACCTCTAAATCAGGGCCCAGATCGTTTCAGACTCACTTCCGGTTCCGGTCCAGCAGCACCTCAATAGAGCAGAGTAAGTACTCCTATTACGCTCAGGCAGCAGCCTCCCCACGACCGGAGTGTCTCCCTACCCCACGTCACTCAGCCAGGACCACAAGCATTCAGACGGTGCAGAGCTTCCGCCAGCCCGACGCCACCGTCTCTTCCAGGCAGCGTTCACCTCCGGTCACGTGAGTACACAGCACACGCCCCCTTAAACTCCGGTCACGCAGGTCACCCGTCAAAGGGGGGGGGCAGGGAGGTTGGCAAGCGTACACCAGCACCCACCCCTCGAAATAAACACCGCCTTCCGGCTCAATACTGCCTCCAGGAACTTAATCCTCACGTCACATGTGTCACACGCACAGGATGCGCAGTCTCCCCAGCAGGGGAGGGGAGAGGCCGGCAAACACACAATAAACAAGCACCAAATGGCAAATTTTCAATTTTCAAGTCTGTGGTTTCATCCATAAACAAGTCTACAAGTATATATCTCTATAGGTGCACATTACGCTTTTCTCTCACCCTAATAAATCAGCCATCACTCCCGTTTCAACCACATTCAATCTCAAATCACATGACATAATTATAAAAAAAAATATTTTTTTTTTTTTTTTATTCTGTTCACATACCTGTTTTATCTAGGCAACCTATTGCATACTGGATACCAAAATCATTGGATACCACTCTACCATTAATACATAGGTAAGTAAGTGGTATGGTCTTTTCAATCCAATATCAATATCTCGGTCACACACTCATTTTAATTTTCATTTAGGCTCTAAGGGACAACGCATAGTCCTCAAACTGCTACCTAAATATCCACCGGACAAGTTTACGCAGATCTGAGCCAACTCTGGCAACCCACATGCCATACCAGTTCGCAAGACGCTAATTCATCTCCATAGGACAAGCAATCGTGCAAACTCGCTTACCAAAGTAAGTATCTCGTTTCTTTCCGCCTTTTCTCCCTTTTAAATAGTCACCCTGTCAGACACGCACCTGACAGGCCAACAGGTCACAAGACCTACACAACGGCCTCATTTCGATCACGGTTCCTAACCACGTCCACTCTCAGTGGACAAAGCCATCGAACTCGCCACCAAGCACAACACCCCCACATCGGGTCATAGTTCACTCTACGTCACACGTCCTCACGCTTAAATTGGTCCTCACAACTAGACCACTTCGCCCACCGACTTCACGGGCAAACTCTCCATATACACGTACGAGCACTTCAGTCACTCCTCCGTTACAAGGCATTTCACTCCCCACATAAAGATGTAAATTACTTATTAATAATTAATAATAATCGCCCTATCGAACCATCGTCCCCTAATTTATGTACTTACTCATGTTATAGAATGTCACACGCTTCGGACGTAGCCGAGGATGTCTCCCTACCCAGCACCCCAGCCAGGATCGCTAGCCCTACCAGACCAAGTACCCCAGTGGATTTGGTAGAGACGGCTAGTCCAGCGTCCCTACGCTCCTGGACCGTACCCAAGATCGCAGCCGAACTCAGAAGACGAGGCATACCATACCCGGCCACGGCCCGCAAAGCAGAACTGTACCGCCTCCTGAACAATAACCCCGACACCCCGCGACCAGGCACCAGCACACAGGCTATCGACGGGAGCACGCCTGGACTTCAAGCCACCATGTCCACTCTTCTCTCTTCAGTTAATCTAATCAATGAGAGACTGGAGAAACTTGAGAACCAAGTGGCCTTGATCAACCCAGCAAATGCCCCTCCCCCATGCTGCCACACTCTTTGCCTAACCCGGGTAACAGCACATTTTCCGACCCAGCACCTACATCCACACACATCATCACGCCTGCCCACTTAGTGCCCCAAGACATTCTAGAGGGGAAAGATGTCAACCTGGTATCACTCCTCATAGCATCCCAAGACTTGGTAGAAAACAAGGCTTACTGCTATGGGGAAGCTTCTGTCGTACTCAAGGCTAGGGATCCCAGGCTTAACAAGAAACTGGCCATCCCCGATTTTGTAATTGCTTTTGGATTGCACAGGGATGTCATCTGTTCCATCTTCCCTCAACGTAGAGAGGAGCTGGACCTGTACCTCCACAAATTGGTGGACTTAGGCAACAAGTACGGAGGCTACTCTTTCTATGATTATCATAGGTCATTTTCGGCGAAGGCGGCGGCAGCACTGGTCCAGTTTAACATACGCTCAGACTGGAGCCAACTGGATACGGAACTGTTCTGCCGCCACTTCACCGGCCTCAAGCCTCCGTCCTGTGCCATTTGCACGTCCACTGCACATTCCACCAATCTGTGTCCCTCCGAACTCAGCCAACCCTCCACAAGCCAAGCAGAGCCCACCCCCAAATCAGATAGGGTGATCAAAAACAAACTGGGCAGGCCCATCGTATTCCTCGGCAAAGCACAGATATGCAATAACTTCAATGCGGGGGGCTGTAGCTTCAGCGCTTGTCGTTTGTTGCATGTCTGTTCCCTTTGCTTTAGGCCACACGCAAAGACCATGTGCCCTAATCGGCTTTTCCCTAGACAATGACTCACGGAGATTAATGTTAGCAACCTCACCTATTATCTCTCCAATCACCCCTCCCCTCACTTGGTCGAGTTCCTCACAACAGGCTTCACGGTAGGATTCCACACAGGGCTAGTGGCAATCCCGGGGGGCACCCAGAATGCAGGAACCTACAATCAGCCATACAAGACCCTGTCACAACGGACGCACTGCTTACAGCCGAGATCGACCATGGGTTTAATGATATCCCATTCACACACCCCCCATACGCCAGTTTCAGAACTAACCCAATTGGCATTGCTACTGGAAAATTCAACAATAAAAAACGCATGATTATTGACCTATCAGCGCCTCATTCATCCGTGGTTCCTAGCATTAATTCATTAATTCCATCCAGCGAATTTTCACTTCAATATGCCACAGTGGATAACGCAATGGGGGCAATCTTGAAAGCAGGTAAGGGCGCCTGGTTAGGAAAAACCGATATCACTAACGCTTTCAAATTGCTACCCATACACCCGTCCCTGTGGCATTTACACAGAGTTAAATGGAAGGGGCAGTACTACTTCGCCACTCGTTTGACGTTTGGGGCCAAAAGCAGTCCCAAACTGTTCGACACGTTCGCCGAAACACTTTGCTGGTTACTACTAAACGTGTGTGGCTGCCCAGTAGCAATACACTACCTGGACGACTTCCTCACGGTTGAGGAACCTAACCGCACTCCCCACAGCTTAGATAAAACGGCTGCACTTTTCTCCACGCTTGGGGTCCCTCTTTCAGTAGAAAAAACGATAGGTCCTTCTACAGCCCTGACCTTTTTAGGCATCTATAGCTATGGTAGCGAGTCTCCCAGACGAGAAGGTAACATTTCTCTCCTCCTGGAATGGGAGGTCAATGTTCATACCCCCACTTGACGTAGATTCCCCGGTCGTATGGACCGATTCAGCAGCCCACACAGGCTTTGCAGCCATATACAACGACCAATGGTTCCGGGGTTCATGGCCATCTGAAACGTCAACACTACAGGCATTTAACACCACATCCTCACTTTTCGAACTTTATCCAATAGTGGCAGCTGCACACACTTGGGGTTCGTTGTGGGAGGGCAAAGCAGTTAAATGCCTCTCTGACAACGAAGCCACATGCGAAATCATAAACAAGGGCAGATCCGCATCCCTAGTCATCATGAGACTCATGAGGAGACTCACATGGCTGGCAGCAACTCACAACTTCCACTTGGTTTGCATGCACATACCAGGTCGGGAAAATATTGCAGCTGACGCTCTCTCTCGTTCCAACTTTCAGGCCTTTTTCGAACAGCACCCCACGGCGGCAGTCATACCCGTGCCGACCCCCGCATTTCAGGACCTCATAATGAACTGATAAGCCTGAAACAACATGCACTAACGTTGGCAAAAGCTGCTCTATCAGATAACACCAAGAAGTCCTATGACAGAGCACTTGCTATTTTCTCCAGGTTCACTTCCGAACACCATATCACCAACACCTTCTCCATAGACACGATTGTTGCTTTCAATGCTCACTGCCACCTACACCTCAAGCTTGCCCATAACATCATCAAACTTTACCTCATGGGCATTCAGCACCACTTACTCACAGTATTTCCCGATCACAAACCTTTCATGTCATCCTATCTCTTAAAAAACGTCCTAAAAGGAATACTCCGCACTGACGGCCCTCCAACAGCCAAAAGACAACCAATTGACGGCACTAAATTTAAGGATCTATCAGATCTATTAGATTCCAACCCATTCGAACCTAGTACTAACAGCGTACTCCAGACGGCTATGTACATAGCGTTCTACGGGTTTTTACGGCCCAATTAATTCACGGTACATAATCTATCGGTCAACACAAGTTACGTCAGAATAAGGGACCTGCAAAAATTAGGGGACCACTACATACTGCGCCTAAGACGTACAAAAACAAATCAGGTAGGACCGCCTACGGAAATCCAGTACTTCCCGACCCATAACAAATGGTGTCCGGTGATAGTCCTGGATACTTCCTGCCTTTCCCTCACAGACAAACAAAGCTTCTCACCCCTACTCACTATTTCCGACAAACCTCTGACCACGGCTAAATTCATACACTACGTAAGGGCCTTGGCGGTCAGATTAGGACATGACCCCATGTCCATCTCAGGACATTCATTTAGGATCGGCGCCGCTTCAGCCGCATCCAGCAATAACGTACCCGCACAAATCATTAAAAAACTAGGTAAGTGGAAATCATCAGCTTACGGCAAATACATTCCACAGCCAGAGAAAGAACCGAGGAAAGCTTTCAAGGAATTGCTTGTGTGAATTTTTACAAGCATTAAAGTGTTTTGATTGAAAACCTTTTTGCCCTCATTATTTCAGGCCTACCCGATCGTTTGTTCAGGCACACCACAACCATTAGTCATCACCTACGATTACAGTTACGGCTTTATATCCCCGACTACAAATGTTAAGGCGGAGCCTGTAGTTGTGGGAGGGGTTAACCGGCCTATTTATACCCAGTCCTACCTCTAAATCAGGGCCCAGATCGTTTCTGACTCCCCACCCACCAACAACCTTTCAACAAGTACTCATTATTTCAGGCCTACCCGATCGTTGGTTCAGGCACACCACAACCAACTATCAGTCATCACCTACGACTACAGTTACGGCTTTATATCCCCGACTACAAATATATATATATATATATATACACTTATTTATTATAAAATAAAAATATTAAAAAAAAAATTGTGTGTTTACAGTTTTTGCAATAATAATGTGTGCATAATTAGTGCAGGTTAAAGAAAGTAATTAAAAATAAATTAATTTAGTTGTTCTGATTTACAGAATATATAATGTGTCTGGGAATTTAAGTTTTTTTTGGTAGTTACAGGTCACAAAGCACAAGGAGTAAAATAAACTTTTAATGTGGAGCGATTTTAGAATTTGGTATATTTGTCTTGAAAGCTTAATAGCCATAAAAGAAAACAAAATTGCCACACAAAAGTATATATTTATATAAAGTAGACCTCACAGGCTATTTACCTAAGATTGTTTTGACACTTTCCTAGTATCCATTTCACCACCAACCTCTGCTAAATATTGGAGTAAAATTGTGTGTTTTTTTTGTTTTTGTGTGTGCTATTCCTGTACAAAGTTTTATTCTGTGTTCAGTTACATCTGCTGAGTAAAATTACACCCCCATTGTATGTCTTTGGCACTATGTCGTGAAGCTACAGTGCCATATAGGAGACCTGTCCTTTTCAGTATTCACAGTAGAATTTTGAGAGACGGATTTAATGAGCCTATGCTTCCATTTGGGGTATTATAGCAGTTTGACTGTTCAATAACACCCCACAAAGGCCTGATACCGGAGAAACTGACGGAAGCAAAGCACAGAGGGATGGACACAGGTTTCTTCAGGAAGGAAGAGATTCTTTATTGGATCACCGATCGGGACTCAGAGGGACTAATGTCACCAAAAATACAGCAAGTTCTGAGCCCTGAACAATAGTGCAGGCTCCCTATATAGGCACATAACTCCTCCCATATTAAGCTCCACCCGCACATTCTCTTGACCAATCATTACAAATAAGAATTAACTTCCTGCTTGACCGCATGGCTTGTCCAGCACAATGGAGGAGGGGAATACTACATCCTGTATTCTTGCACATGCTCCGTACACTACTGATCGTATCTTGCCTCGTGCAACCAACTGATCGATACGTCAGCATATGCACGTACACATGCCACGTGGTAATCTCGGCCTACTAAATTTATTTTTACCGAGATTCCACCACATTCCCCCCTTTGATGCCTCTTGATATTTTACAATTACTTGAGGCATCACTTAACCTTGGTTTGCATACACCACAAGTTACCTTTGAACCAGACCAGACTTATCCTACGATGTGAATCTTCAACACTCGTCTTCCTGCATTGGTTCTCCCTGATCTAGAGCCTTATATTTATAAATTGCCATTATCTGTGCAGCAGCCTTCCTCTCTGCTATATTTTCTATCAGGCTTTGCACAGACCTAACTACTAAGGGTATAAGACACGGCAAGAGTAGACACAACATTAAAATCAGTAGGACTCCACCTACCACTGCCTTAAGCCCTCCAAACCACTCATACCAGCTACCAAACCAACTACTTGGATTGTACCCTTTCCATACCTGAGTAGGCACATGCGCTAGTTTAACCATATGGCTAGTAAGCTCAGCTATTGCTTGCCCTTCGTCATCTATTTGAAGACAGCAATTGCTCAGGTTAAACTTCCCACATACACCTCCCTCTACTGCCAAAAGATAATCCAAGGCTAATCTATTTTGGTAAACTGCTGTCCTCATCCTGGTATTATGCTTCGCTAGAAGATTGAGCGCTTGTGATGTCTCGTTAGTAATGATCTCAACCACCGCCTGTAACCTTATAATGCGGTTGAGCATATAAATAGGGGTTCTATAACCAAAGGTACCATCCTCTGCCCACGTGGCTGGCCCATAATAATCTATAATACGCTGGGGAGGCCATTCATTATCTTCCCAGGCACCTATCTCTATGGGTCCCCTTTTCTTCCTATGATTCACATCATACACTTTAACACCTAAAGTCTCACCTGTTTCAATAGGCAACAAGAAGAAGATGGTTTTAACATACCCAACACACATGCCCCTTCCCAGTCCTGTGGTAACTCCGAATAGGCCTTCTTACCACAGATCCAGTACAAATTCGCTGGGGCTCTCCAGTTAGATGTGATGGATAGATCAAACCATACGTCCTTTAAATTGGCATATCTTGCAAACGGGTTAGATGGTTCTGAGACATTTGAAGCCGACCACCAAGTTGTATTCTTTGTATCATCATCATAAGCTTTTTGCCCTAGACAAGTTAATTCTCCTACAGAAGTATTATACATCATTCCTTTCCTCGCTATGCAAACATAACCTATGATGGAGGTCTTCAATCTCCACTCAGATTTACCTCTAACACTCATATGATAGTCGGCTTGTGTAGATATTAATTGGTCAACTGCCTCAGAACCGGACATTACCTCCTTTGCTTCCTAAGGCCATTGGTCTCCCATGTTAGTACCTCCACACACATAGCAGTTGGTAACATTAAGACTACCGGCAATACTTTCGGCTAAATCAATGAACAAGTTTTTAGCATTATGGGGGATCTTATTATCTATGCTCATCTCTTCATAAAAGGAATGGTATACTTGATGAGTTTTGGGAGGTTACCGTATCAGTCTCTATCCCTATAAACAATATTGTCCCAGGGTCTAAACCCGTCCCATATATTTGAAACCCAAATAAATTACCATATTTATCTAAGAACTTGTCAGGGTTATTTATAAGTATATGGATTGGATTGCATTCCATAGACTTACAATATGGATTAGTAGGCAACTTAGTCACAATCATGTCCTTGTCTGCTGTCTGTCCCCAAGTCGCCCACCCCACACAAGACCAATATGGGCAGAAGTTATAATCTCTATTTGGGCATCTTGGACTTACATATTTATTTTTACTACTGGGACAAATATATTTATCGTTAGACCCATACGTCCTCTCCCATCTAAGATCCCCACATACATTCCACGGCTTTCTACCACTTGATATTGCTTTACACGCATCAAATAGCAGAGCACCTGAAGAATATACGGATTTTAATACCGTCTTATTAATTAGGGTCCCCTGAGAATCTCCATTTCTGAGAGTCAACCAAATTGTACGGGGTTGATACTCAGGACTGAAGCACTTAGGTTCTCCTACTCCTAAATGACACACACTATATTCTATATTTAAGTATCTACATCTTGATACATCTCCTTTACACTCATATTGCGAATGCCAAATTAGGGTCTGGGATATATGGTTACCTGTTCTTGTAGTCTTAATGCATACCTCACAGCTAGGAGTGTTGGTACCTCTACCTTCCTGAATATAAAAATACACATAAATAAACATTATTAAAAATACATCTTTCGCCATCATCCTCAGTCTTCGTCCGTGTGAAGGCACCTCAGCTTCCAGGATGTAAGGACTGCAGGGAATAGAGTTCTGCTCGTCTTCACAGGGGTCCCCTCAAGACTTTCCCTGACTTATACACTAGTTGGTGAGTGGACAGGCTTTATTATGGCCTTCTCACTCACTTACCAAGTCTCTGAAACAATAAAATTTGTAATCTACAAGGTTCCTCGTCACTCCGACTGAGTCGTGCGTTTTAACCGGATCTTGCAGGGATTCTCTGGATTTGCTGTAACTTGCCAGGAATCGGCTGCTGCTGGTTTAACCCTGGAGTGATGTATCCACGGAGCCACTTCGGCTACTTTTATCGCTGTAGGGGTAGACAGAAGAACAACATAAGGACCTCTCCACTTGGGCCCTAACGGCACATTATTCCACTCTTTAATCCACACTTGGTCGCCTGGGTGGTAACTATGAATTGGGGGATAAATATTCACAGGTAATCTATCTTGTACCCATTTCTGTACCTCCTCCATAGTCTTACCCAACTCTACAACCTGCTGCCGGGTAATTCCTTCTCCCAACTGACTCAAATCCCCCCTTAAGTTACCAAGCACGGGAGGTGGTCGCCCGTACATGATTTCAAAAGGAGAGAGGCCCATCCTTCTGGTAGGTGTACTACGGATTCGCAATAGAGCTATGGGCAAGAGAACGTTCCACTTAAGTTGGGTTTCCTGACACATTTTAGCCAACTGATTCTTAATAGTTCTATTCATTCTCTCTACCTTACCAGAACTCTGGGGTCTATATGCCGTATGAAGCCTCCACTTTATACCAAGCATATGAGTCAATTGTTGTAGGCACTGATGAACAAAAGCTGGACCATTGTCCGATCCTATAGAGCAGGGTAGTCCATATCGGGGTATTATTTCTCGTAGCAGGAATCTCACGACTTCTCCTGCTTTCTCTGTACGAGTAGGACATGCTTCTACCCAGCCTGAATAGGTGCACACCACTACCAGCAGGTAGCGATGTCCACCCGATTTAGGCATCACTGTATAGTCAATTTGTAAATCGGACATGGGAAGTCCCCCATAAACTGGACTCCTGGTGGCTTTACTGGTCCTTGTCTTGCATTATTTTTAGCACACGTTACACATCTACGTACAATGGCCTGAGTCAAGTTGGACAATCTTGGTATGTAGAAATGTTTTCTGAGAGATTCTTCTGTACTGTCTCTCCCAGAATGTGTCCCGTTATGATAGTTTTGGACAATTTCTACCGCTAGTGATGCTGGAATAACTATTCTTCCATCTTCTAACTGATACCATTTGTTCTCCAAATACTTTCCAGGTTCAGTCCTTAACCACTCCTCTTCTTGAGCTGTATAAATTGGAGTCCATTGAGACAGTGGAGTTGGTATAAGAGCAGCTATATGCCCCACATATTCCTGTCTTCCTGATTCAGCAGCACGCTTAGCTGCACTATCTGCCATCCGATTCCCTTTGGTTACATCACCATCTCCTCTCAGATGCGCCCGACAATGTATAATACCGACTTCTTTCGGCTCCCACACTGCTTCCAATAGTTGTAGGATCTCAGCTGCGTATTTGATTTCTTTGCCTTCTGAATTCAATAGTCCTCTTTCTTTATACAAAGCTCCGTGGGCATGAGTGGTTAAAAACGCATACTTGGAGTCCGTGTAGATGTTCACTCTTAAACCTTCAGCCAATTGTAACGCTCGTGTCAGTGCTATCAATTCTGCCTTTTGTGCTGATGTTCCTTTTGCCAGTGGCCGAGCTTCTATCACCTTGTCTATCATTGTTACTGCATATCCTGCATAGCGGATCCCTTCTTTTACATAACTACTGCCGTCGGTGTAATATTGAACATCAGGGTTCTGGATGGGAAAATCACGAAGATCTGGTCTACTTGAAAATACTTTATCCATTACTTCCAAACAATCATGTTGACTTTCAGTAGGTTGTGGCAAAAGGGTAGCTGGATTTAAGGTATTTACAGTCTCTAAATGCACTCTTGGGTTTTCACACAACATTGCTTGATACTTGGTCATACGGCTGTTACTAAACCAATGATTTCCTTTGTAATCCAACAACGTCTGTACTGCATGTGGAACTCGTACATAAAGTTCTTGACCTAGAGTGAGTTTATCGGCTTCAGCTACTAGCAGGGCGGCTGCAGCTACAGCTCTTAGACAAGGTGGAAGTCCGCTGGCCACTGCATCCAGTTGCTTAGACATGAAGGCAACAGGTCTTTGCCATGATCCCAAGTACTGTGTCAATACTCCCACAGCCATTCTTCTTTGCTCATGTACATACAGGTAGAATGGCCGTGTGTGGTCAGGTAGACCTACTGCTGGGGCACTCATCAAAGCCCTCTTCACATCTTCGAATGCCGTTTGCTGTTCTTGAGTCCATAAGAAGGGGTCGTGCTCTGTACCTTTGATAGCTGCATACAGAGGTTTTGCCAGTATCGCGTAGCTGGGAATCCATATCCTACAGAAGCCTGCTGCTCCCAAGAATTCTCGCACTTGTCTTCTATTCCTGGGTATCGGTATTTGGCACACAGCTTCTTTTCTCTCTGGCCCCATAATTCTTTGACCTTCAGAGATATGGAATCCCAGATATTTGACAGTTGGCAAACACAACTGAGCCTTCCTTCTGGACACCTTGTATCCTGCCTTCCAGAGAATGTGTAGTAGATCGTACGTTGCTTGCTGACATACTTCCTTTGTAACTGCTGCTATCAACAAGTCATCTACATATTGTAATAATACACACTCTCCTGGGATAGACTCGAAATCTAGTAGATCTTGACTTAGAGCTGAACCAAATAGGGTAGGTGAATTTTAAACCCCTGGGGCAATCTTGTCCAGGTCATTTGGCGTTTCGAGCCCGTTACAGCATTTTCCCATTGGAAAGCGAAGATACATTGGCTTTCTGCGGCAATTCGGAGGCAAAAGAAGGCATCTTTGAGATCTAAGACTGTAAAGTAAGTAGCCCCGCCCGGAATTAAAGCAAGTAGGTTATATGGATTGGGCACGACTGGATGTATACTAACAACCGCATCATTGACTGCTCTCAAGTCCTGCACAGGTCGATACTCATCTGTACCGGGCTTTTGAACAGGCAGCAATGGGGTGTTCCAGGGGGAAGTACAGAATTTTAGGATACTATACCGTATGAACTTATCCAGATAAGATTGGATGTTCTTCTTAGCCTTCTGCGGAA